TTCAAAATCTTCATAATTTGAAGCGAAAATCGCGCATTTGATTTGTAATGATAGCGGTAGTAATAATACTGTGCTGAAATCTCAGTTTTCTGTAGGTTTTGCAGTGCTTGGTGTAATAACAGGTTATGCAATTTTTCCAAAACACAAGACTTTTAGAGAATTACTTAGCAAAAATTTGGAAAAGCAGCTGATAAAAAGAAAAAATTGCATAAGTTGGCAAAAGGTTTGCCCTATCTGGTGGTTATTAGTGCTCCTCCGAATGTCTCATACACAAATTTTGGAAATTAGTGAAATTTGAACATGGTGAAAACGAGTGGTTGTAATTTCCAGCAAATATCTCGTCATTCTCGCAACGAAACACAGTGGGAGTTTAGCAGCTGGAAAGAGGAAGAAATTCTGCATCGGATACATTTTGAAGTCTTTGTTTATCTTCATTCTAGCGTGATTGCCGATGGATTGAAAAAACTGACAAAACTTTTGCACCGACCTAATATTTGTTCTACAAATAAATTTGGGAGGCATGAATTTTACTCCAAAAATGCTCAAAAGGTTTGTTCTTCTGCTAGAGGAGCGCCAAAAAGGATTGAATGCGTAAATAATCGATTAGTTAAGGCTTTACCTTATGAATTGAAAAGATTTTTGCACAGAAAGGTAGCATGGTGTTTACTATATTTATGGAAACACTGATGTTCAGATAAATGCAGTAACTCATTCAAATTCGCATTTATTCTTCTGCAGAAAGGTTTTTTCCCCCAAAATCACCGATCATGGAAATACTTTGGGAATGAGCAGTTGTTTACGACTGATCCGCGATGTTCAGCATCATACGGTGGGTTTCAGAGCTTTTTCATTATTTGAGTAGAATACACGAATGGTTTTCGGCATAAATATTGCACGATTCGTAATTGATTTTCTACGAACGCTCACGCTACATTCGCGATTGAATTGTGATGAAATTTTGACTGATGAATGGAGCCGTGACGGCTTGAACTCCTGCAAAGCCGCCTTGAATCAAAGTGCGATTTGATAGTCTCAAAGGAAAGGGGAACACCCAAAAGTGTCATATGACTTTTAATAAAGCGCTTAGCCTGTCTTTTTGTCCATGTGTGCATGTCTGTCTGTCACGAAATTCATACAGGGAGCTGCAGCCAAGCTTTCGAGCTACAATTTTGCATAACGTATTGCCCCAGTATGTAGGTCCACAGTGCACAAGACGAGCGTGGACGAGCGGGTTCGATAAGCGGGTCCTTCAAAATTTGCGCCTCAAAGGAGTTCACGCGGCTTTTGGTAAGCAAAACTATCGTTTATTCGTTGACCGTAACGACTGCTGACCGCGCGGCGACCGCTGCGCGTGCATGATGTTTTCGTAGAAAAGATGAATAGAAAGAAAACAGAGGATTCTTCTCATCTTTATAATGTAGAAAAGAAACAAAGAATTCTTCTCATCTTAAGCCACGGTCCAACTTGTCTCTTTTTCGCAAGTTTAGAAGGCACGCGTCGCAGTCGCCACGCGGTCGGCAGTCCGTACGGTCAACGAATGAATGATAGGTCGCTTATTCGACTTTTTGCGAAGCCATGATTTGCCTGCCAAGTAAATCTGCGCCCCATAAATCCCAGCCCAAAAAGTGCTCAAGTTAGCTTTTCCTCGAAAAAAGCGCCAAGAAGTGGTGATCGCCTAGGTAGTCGATTTGGTAAGGTTTTACCTTAAAATTTGAAAGGATTTTTACACGAAAGCGTAGCTCAAAGTGACTATTGTCTTTATAACGACTACCAAGCCAAAACAAATTCAGTAATCCATTCAAATTCGCGGGTGTTCCTTTGCGAAAGTCTTTCTTCTCAAAAGTACCGATCTTACATGAAGATGCTTCAAAAATGAACATTTGTTTACGATTCATTTGTGATGTTCAGCATCACATAGTGAGTTTTATAGTCATCATTGAGCGTGCATGAGAAAGGACACGGATAGGAGAGCCAGTGCGAACCCTCCGCGAAGCGGAGATGACGCACTGACAATATCATATGACAACTACTAACATCATTCCGAATGCCCAGGTTTAGAGAAGAAAGAACATTTAACTTACTGACTGGAACATATTTTGTTGTGATATTGCTGCTTTGTGTCTGAGTTAGATAATTTTGTATGCTTCATGATAATAGGTTGATTTTAAATTGCAACGTTGAGTACTTTTATGCGATAGACAAAAATCGTTCACTCGCACCACATGCTTAAAGGCAGTGTCTCACCAAAAATTCGCTGCTGACGAGGAAATCAGAACTTAACCCAACCATTTTAAACAAGCGGTATATCATCAGACTCGTCTTGAAACGCTGGTTTCAAATATATGTTTTCTATCTGCCAAGTGACTATGTGGGAGGAGTTATGTGCGCTCAAATATGGGAAAGCTTCGACGAATGTATTTTCTTAAAACGCAGCCTGATGGCGCGGATTCACAGTGGCTGTGATTATTTCAATTACAAGGAAGAAGCACATTCACTAATAACCTGAATAAGTTTTCTGAAACGTATTTTGTGGAACATACGCCACAGAACATTGACAAATCGCACATTTTAAACGCTCATAACTCTTCCTAGGTAGTCGCTTGGCAGATAATGAACATACATCTGTGATCAGCGTTTCAAGACGAGTGCGATAATATACAGCATGTTTGTGGCTGGGTTATGTTCTGACCATTCCCGGCTTAGCACTGTTGGGTTAGATAATCAGTACAACTTTGGAAGGTTATTTTAAAAAGGAAAGTGGCATTGAAGAAAAGAAAGTCGCCAGCCATGGATCATCAGGGGGATGCGAAAAGCTGGAAAATGCGGCATGTACTTTCTGCTCTTGTTAAATAAGTTTATAGTGAAGGATTGTAGAAATATACCTACGAAAAGGTAGATTTGAGTAGTCGTAGTAGAGCTTGTGTATGAGGCTTTTTTTAAGCTGTTTTCCCCTCCCCAGCGGAGATATCAATGCATTCTTTGAAGAGTGCAAAAATGGCCAAAGCGGCATTTCCCAAGACCCTTCATTTTGAATTTGGATGAATGTACAGTCTCGCCCAATTTGGAGACGCAAAGTTGTTGTGAGACTCACATGGTTATGACATTGCGCCTCCGACCGTAGAAGCGAAATCGTGAGATAGTCCGACACGTATAAAAATGGCTTGCGCGCACGGATTTGGTTTATCAACCGTTGAGACACAAAAGCTTTCCTGCTCCAAAAAAGTCTTGCTTCGGCACCACGAAAGCCAAGCCATTGAGGGGCAGGGTAGCGCAAGCTATTGGCAATACCTTCATATTGAAGGGCTGCAAGCTTTTTCATTCAACGCGTTTTTATCAGAACTTCCACGCAGAAAATCTATAAAGACGTCTTATTTCTGTTTCAAGGAGCAAACTTTGCTAATAAACGTGGATTATCTCTTCTAGCTTTCTTCTCCCTATCGATATTTGAGAACAGTGATTGCACAGAATTAGCTGATGTTGCAGCTAGATCAAATTTTCATGACTCAACAGGAGAACTGGGAAAAAAAAGAGACGTTTACGTCTACTCCCCATGTTCCAAGCTTTGGAATGATATATACGACTATATCGACTGATGGGACATAGAGCTTCAGTGCGTCAAAAGACTTTCTCTTTATGATGTCTAAGCCGAACCAATGAAGTTCTCCATTCTACCTCTGTACCACTTACTTTCCTCTCCTCCCCCCCCCCTCAATACCTTTCGCCATTCAAGCTGACATCACCAATCAATTCGAGGTTTAGTTACCCGCTTCACATATCAAGGTCGGAAATAGCCGAATCCTGCTCATCTGATGAGGACCGTGCTCCTCCTATCCCACCAATAGTCGCAATGTTATGGGTGACATGATCGAAGAATAATTTTCTTGAATTCAGAAATCAACTTTGAACCAAAACATGGAAGGCGACGAAAAATCCGGCAAACTTCAGCGGCCTCGCAGCTTCCTTCACAAATCATGAGCGATTTGTGAAGCTGCAGACTTGCTCGAGACGTTGCTTCTCTCTTCAAATAATGCGACAACTTTGCAATTACCTCCACTTATATGATTTCATGAGAAGTTTCAGGTACCAACTATTACTGAAACCGCTTAGCAAAGGTTGGAAAAGACTACTCCTTGATTTTTTCCATGCGTTTTCTTGATCGCCAAAATTCCAGGCTACCTTTTACATCAGCAGGCATGCAAATTTCTGTGGAAATGGAAATCGCTTGCAAAGTTACAAGAAGCCATTCATCGGCCCGGTGTCATGGAAAGTAAAGTGGTTGAAATGATTTTGGGTAGGTATACTCAGATTATGAAACGGAGGGAAAAACAAATTTTTAAAGCTCAGTGTTTAAGTAAAGGAAAGTAAAATTCAATGCGGCAAGCAGGCATTGTAGCAGTTAATCACTGAAGTTCTCTTGGTAACCATGTTCGTTAGACAAACTGCGAATTAGGAAGACCCTTACATCTCACAATTGGCAACCACTCGTTTTCTTTGAAAAATCATTTGTGGGTAGAAAAATGAAAGAGGAAAAGACAATAACCTAAATAATTATAAATCACTAGCTTGCTTACCCGGCTCCGCTCGGTCCTGTCAAAGCACTGTAATAAAGGTCCCATTCCCTGTACAGCTTTTCCCTGTGCCCACTTCTACACTTCAATTCCCGTTCTCTGTGTTGTTTTCGAAATCGCCATGCCCACTTACCCCACTGTGCCAACTCCCAGCCATGTAGCTCAAACTTTGCAAAAAGTCGATAAAATCGATAAAAGTAATCGGTAATTCTGAAAACTAATATTGTATTCGGAATCGCCATGACCACTTACCTCCCTGTGCCAAACTCCCAGCCCCGTAGGTGAACTCTGCGAAAAATCGATGAAAACGATAAAATCGATATTGATCGATGACGAAAAGTAGCCTATGACACGCTCCCCGCCCCGAAGTGTATGTGTGCCAAGTTTGGTCCAAATCGGTTCAGGAATAAAAATTTTTATTCCGCACATACGTACATACATACATTCAGCTTTATATATAAGATTTTGACTAATAAGTAATACACTAAAATGAAGCCATAGCATTGTATATCTATGGCTAGAGGGTTTTATATGGATACAGGTTACAAAGGATGGAGGAGAATTATGAAGAAAAGAACGGAGTCTGCTTCAAATACTCAGATTTGTAGCGTACGTAGACAGTTTGTCCAACATGAATGTAGCCCTAAAAAAAGATTTGTTGGTGATGTAATTTTCCACAGTATTCAAATATAGTTCAAAACGAACAGGATGGATAAGGCCACAATCAACGCCAAACATGGGGTTGTCTTTGCAGTCGTCTCTCATGGGTCCTTCAGGAGCAAGCCGACATCTTAAGAGCATCGTTAGTCATAACCAAAACCCTAAAGTTGCGACTTACTGCCTCAGCGTTTTAAGTGGTTCAACAGATGGATCTTTCTCTCCTGTAGAGGGATCAATGGTGGTCATAACGCAACTGCAAATAAAATAGCAACTTGGCATATTTCACATCCAGGCAGCGTACACCCAAAATTTCGCCTTCGATGTTTTTGCCATTCTGGGACCTTTCCGTGCCCCTGATTACAGCTATGACATTAAAATTCCCCAAAGCCCTAAAGAACTCCAATTCCTGGAGACCTCCCTTTAGAACAAGGACGGGTTTCGAACTGTTCGACCGCGTCAGCATGCTAGCGAGGAGCCGCTGCAACTGGATGACAGCCTGCAACTGCAACTGCAAGCAGCTTACGCTGTCGTAGATTCGTCCATAGGAGGCGGACCGCAAAGAGAATCAGGCGGGTTTCCTCCATTTAGAAGCAACACTGGGAGACCGGACCAACGTGTATATGTAGGGTTCCCAAAGAAGACCAGTTGGTCTTCTTTTGGCCCCTGCATATACATTGCGTAGAGAAATGGATAACTTAGATTTTGGGTGCATGCTGCCTTTAAGAATAAAAAAAATCGATTGATAAGGCTACTGATCAATTTGCTGGAAATTAATTGGTTTCAATTTCAAGTATAACCACAGTCAAGCGTGGGGTATGGCACGCCACATCTGGGGTCGTATTGGGGGGGGGCAGGTTATCGACGTGTTACTGATGTTAGCGACAATATGATAAAAGTTAGAAATGTCACAAAAGCCTATCATGCAGAATACGAGCACATTTAGGTATTGGCCTACCATCGTGCATGTTTTATAAAGAAGCCTTGAAAGCATAAAAGCATCATCTTCGTAATTAGCATGCCAAATAACTCCTGTGGATTGAGTTTCTGCGAAGTCTGAGGTTCCTAAATATTGGGCCGCCCAGACAAAATGGCCATTTTCGAACATGATTGACATTGCTTAGAAGGTTACTTGGCTACTTCCTTTTGCACATAATACAGAGTACCACTTTTTTTGCTTATAAAAAATTCCCTCTTCAAATAACAGGGAAATGAAATTAAGAGCAAGCAAAATTTCGTTTATCACATGTCTCCCTTCCGATGTCTCAGAGAGTGACCAATGAAGCTCAAATCACTCTAGTAAATATTACAAGGTTTATGCTACCGAATAAATATATTCTTGCTGCCCCTCGCGATTCACGTAGTAGCGCTGACGTAGCATATTATCGTAACCCAATATCCGCAGTAATTTCGGTTTGCATAGGTAAGAAAACCCTGTCTTTCCCTAAAAGAACGATTTTGAATGAAATTCTACTGTGTAGAGAAAAAGGTTCAGAGTAGCAAAGATATAAACACCCCTAAAATGGTGTGCCAGCCACACTTTTCTCGGTTTGTGCCACACCCCACTGAATACTCTTTGAAGAGAATTCTAGCGAACAAAATATTAGGTTGGTGCAAAAGTTCTTTCCCACCAAATTCAAAAATTCTTAACTTGTTGAATTCTCAACGAATTTGCAAGATCTAAATTTTATGTAAGAGAGGAACAAGAGAGGAACTCACGCTCTTTGCAACTGTGCTTGGTGTTCGTTAATGTTTACAAATGAAGGAGATAGAAGCTCAAAACCAAAATCACTCAAAATTTGAATTTTTCGTGTAGGGTCATAACAAATCGGAAACTTGCGATAAAAATCGGAGCAGTCAGTATTGTAGGCTCTTTCACAAGCTCTTTCCAACAGTGCAAAGTTTGCGCCAATTGACTCTATGAAAAGATTTTGATGATTTTCGACCTAGCAATAGAAAAGGGCGAATTTGATTTATTTTAGCATTTTTCAGGGAATTCATAACTTTTCACAGAGACGCTCAATTGGCGCAAACTTTTCACTGTTGGAAAGAGCTTGTGAAAGAGCCTACAATACTGACTGCTCCGATTTTTATCGCAAGTTTCCGATTTGTTATGACCCCTGTGACCCTATGACCCGACGAAAAATTCAAATTTTGAGTGATTGTGGTTTTGAGCTTCTATCTCCTTCATTTGTATACATTAACGAACAGTTCAATTGAGTTGCAAAGAGCATGAGTTCCTCTCTTACACAAAATTTAGATCTTGCAAATTCTTGAGAATTCAACAAGTTATGAAATGAATTTGGTGGGAAAGAACTTTTGCACCAACCTAATATATACAGTTCCATAGCTCAATCTCGTAGTTTTCACAAGAGTAATTTGCGATTGATTTATTATCTATGGTCTATGTAATGGTTGCTGAAAGCAGGACCGCTGAAAGTGAACAATGAAATTAATGAGATTTTGGCTGGCTCCTAATTCTACAGTTTGGAGGTTATTTGAAGTGATTTATTCAATGGGCAAAGAAGGTCTAGTGCCTTGTATTGAGCGCAAAGATGGGCGGCTAATTCACCTTCAAAATAAAGTTAAGGGACCATCTCACTTGGGTGGTCCAACATTGGGAGCCCTCAAAATTTGCCAAAACTTGGCCCGCAGAGGTTATGCCAATTACCAGTCTATAACTGATAATGCTTGATAGAGCTTTAGTGTTATTCAGGGTTGAGCTTGGGGTCAGTCGCGCCCGACCTGGGGGTCGTATTGGAGGTAAGGCTGAGGGGAGGGGGTCGTAATCAAGACGAATTTATTCACAAAATGGAGGGGATGCTATGATTGAGCGAGGTGAAGAAAAAGAGCACTAGACCAGTGAATATCAAATCATTCCACCGGAGAGGAAATGACTATCGTTACTGCATCTTGGTGGCTACACTAACAGGTCTCGCCAACGGTAAGGTCACCAAAGAGGGTTGGTGTAAAGTGGGTAAGATTTCCGTAGTCAGCATGCCAAATTACCTATACGAGCTCTACAAACCACCACCTATCACATTTTCTAGTGTTTCCTAACGTCTAGGCTTGTTCACGAAAGTAAAAGAAGTCTGCTTTCTTGTGCTCAAAACAAAGTAACGCTCTTCATCAGTTCATGGTAGAAATTAGATCTCCTATCGCTTTCAAAAAGTAGATCAAGAAGTGCCGCCAAAATTTCAATTAGCGCGTTTTCCACCTTGAGTGATAAACTCCACCGATCACCACGAAGTCGAAACAAGTCCAAGTAAGCTCGAACACCTAATGTAGAAACTTCGAGGTTTGTGCTAGCGAATCACATAAAGCTAGGGTGGAAAAGATTCTTCGATGAGTTAACCAGGTCAGGCGCAACCTTTCAAAAGCTCAGGCCGCCTGAGCTTTTGTAACCTTGCGCCTGACCCCCTTGAAATGTTTTCAAAATCCAGAAATCGCTTCATTCCTGGTATGAATATTGAGCTCATAGCTCCTTCTTGCTACAGTGAAAATTTGGAGCCAAACATCCCAGCCTCAAAAAATTGTGATCCTTGCAATAGACCCATTCAGATCAAAATCAACCGTCAATATACGTGTGTAAGGTGCAATCATAGAAAATCAAGTGTACAGATTGGAAAATCCAAAAACTCTCTAAAAAAGGATGGTGTCCTCCAGAACGTCGGTCTCTGAGGTCCCAGAGGTGAAAAGGAGGAAGAAGGGGGTCGTTTGGGGCTTCCAGAGGGGGGGGGGGGGAGGGGACGTTTTCGAAAGACTTGTGCCTGACCTCTTGCTCAACTCTGGTCATAATCACGGCAGGCAGACGGTAATATTGAGGGGGGAGGGGAGAGGGGAGGGGTGTCGTATCCGGCGGTTGTGTGCCACACCTCTTGCTCAACCCTAAGTATAGCTTTTACAATTATTTCGAACTCTCTAGAATTTTCTGCATTGTCTGCGCACATTTCGCATATAATATAAATTGCTTACAATCGCCTTGTTAGCAAGGCGGCAAATCACTTTGTATCTTTGAATTTCAGAACCAGCTGCAATTAATATAAAAGTGCAGTTTCACGCATTTCTTATTGAATTTTACCGCTTCTGTTCCATTATGACTAAGCAAAAGACTACTCCTCTTATATTTGTACAGAATCTAATATCTAGTACTGTTCCCTTGAAATACAAAATTTTCTCGCTTCGCGATGCGCAGAAAGCTTTCATGCTAAAGACTTCTTCATACGTTTGAAAAATGCAGCAGCTGAATGCATTATCGAATGTGAAGTGTTGGTTGAAATATAGGTCGCATAGGATATTCTGTAAATCAAGTCGCAAAAGCTCAAATCCATCTGGTCTTCATACGCACTTTCCGAATAGGAAGTCAATAAGACGAACACATTGGCAATTATCGACTAGCAAAGACAGTTTTGCTAAACATATTCACTTTACTGTTTGGAGGGAACCTCGTTTCTTTTTTTCTCTTTTCCTTCTTAAATCTAGTAACTCAGCTGTTTTATAACTGTCTGACCTTCTCTTTCCCTTTTTGCTTTTCTTCACAAGAGTGTACCAATTTATTCAAAAAGTAATTTAGCCCCCAGCTTGCTACTTCCAGAACTTCAGATGACCTTTACACCATTCAGTCCAGACATCAGCACTACTCCGATAAGTCTGTAGGAATTTGAAGAAAATATAGAAAAAGAGCTCGTGGCCCGACAATAATTCCCTAAGGCCTAAGGCATACCTCACGCGATTGGCCTAATCGCCACTTTCACGCGACTTGGCGATTTGCCAGATTCCTATAAATTTGTCATGCGCACTTCTCCGACGCATATTTGGGTAGCTTGTATAAGTTGTTGCAAACAGAGCAAGTTCTGACCAAAGGCAGTGCATTAACGACGGATTACGAAGAGTCGCTGTTGTGCCAAATCGCGCAGCGACTAGAATCGCGCGACGTATCCCTTAGGCCTAAAACATTTGTGAGGTTCTAAAATAAGCGGTCGTAGCCACATGCTCAGTATATCTATGCTTGATAAGAAAGAAGGATTATACTTTAAAAAACTGAAAATTTCATCCATCTAATAATATAAGCTCAAAAAGCACTTTCAATGTTCACCATTTGCGAACAGGCGTCAGACGAAACAGTGCAGAAAAGCTATAATCCGCCGATAATTCATGAAAAAAAAAAGACGCAAGTGCTTCTAAGGTTCGCGAACCCTGCCACCACCATATATCGGCTCAGAGTGAAAGATATTGAATTATAGGACATCATTCAATTTATCTTACATTTTCGTACATAAAAATGCCTTTGGGTACGGTAGATGCACCATGGGCAGTCACTCCAACAAATCCCTTATGATTTTTGCTTACGGTAGATTACACGGTGCGCTGTTTACTGCTGGAAACTGATCAACCGCACCTACCCTACCAGATAACCAGTTCTATATATCAAATTAAGCACCCTAGCTGAGTGTATGCAGCTCTTGGATTCAAAAAAAAATCAGCCCTAATCAATTCGAAATGGCTTGGCGCAAAGGCCGAACCTCAGACATCTGTTTTTTCTTTCAAATTATGAGCGACTTTCGAATGTAAAATACCAGCCCTAGCATCACGATATTCAGCTCAAAAATTTTTTCTTTATCATTAACTGGGAGAAACGAACCGCAGACATGGCTTGAGGCACTGTAATGCAACGTCGCCAATGTGTACACTTAGCCATTTGTCCTCGTCCCAAGCCGCGCATTTGTCAACAAAAATGACCGGCCGAAATCGTTCAATCTCTGCCTGAACGAAAATACTAGAATAATGTGGTTAGTATGTTAGTAAGCCGTTGCGAGGTTAGTACGATTTATTAGTGGCGGCCTGACGTTTCGACTTTGTCGTCTTCTTCAGAGGCCTCCTCCACCGTCGGCACGCAGATCTTGGTGCGGCCGTCCTTCAATGCCACTCAGTACTAATTGGTACTGAGTGGTATTGAAGGACGGCCGCACCAAGATCTGCGTGCCGACGGTGGAGGAGGCCTCTGAAGAAGACGACAAAGTCGAAACGTCAGGCCGCCACTAATAAATCGTACTAACCTCGCAACGGCTTACTAACATACTAACCACATTATTAACTATGCCGAGGTTGAGAAAAGAGGAAACTTGAAAATACTAGAATAAATCAAACCAAAAGAAGGATCGTACCTTATTCTCCAGTCTAGTATTCAAATCATCTAGCGATGCTTGAGTGTTAATCATGTACGGAGCATCGTCGGCATATGGAGTCTGGATAACATTGAAGGATGTATGATGCTCAAAGACGGTTGTTCACGTCAAATTTACCCTGTCCGTTCTCAGTGGTATTTCTTTGTTCCATGCTCTCCGCTCAATTACGCAACCTCGATTCGAATAAAGACCTTTTTCGTACATCAACAATCTAGTATCTGTAAAGACGAATTAGGTCGTAATATATTGCCACTTGACAGGCAAAATTTTCAGTGCTAGCAAGAACTTTATTGCTCTCAAGTCATCTGAGGGTTTGTGGCTTCCCATATAAACAGAGAGTTCCATGGCTCAATTACTTAATTTAACGTTAATTCATCGTTCATATCTCTCCTCCCACAAGATCTTTTGTCAAACATTAGCTACCATTTCGTACGACTGGGTTCAAACTAAATAAGTTTACATGTTCAGCGAGCGTTCAGCGCTCTACTTTGTTACTGTAGAACATAGGAGTCCAGCAGAATTTGGAAAAAAAGGCCTGAAATTGTATGGTAGGGTTTTTGTGCATTCTCACGTCGTCAGGTGACTTTTGCGAGTATTGTAAAGCTTTTTAGGTGGTGTTATTACATTCTTCAAAAACATTTTTTACACGTTATATCTCTACATCTGGCATAATCAATGAAGTAAGCATTACAGTAATGCACTAACATTCCTCAGAGAGGGCCTCTCTATCAGCCTAGTGTAATAGTAACAGTTTGTTTTATTTTTATGTGGCACTCATTGACCTAAGAATTCCTCCAGCGTTCCTATTGTAATCCACTGATGAGAAAAAAACCAATGGTTTGCTCCATACTGTGTATTTAATTGTAAGAGAAGACATTCACAAAATGGCACATAAAGATCGACGGAAGAGCTGAAGAGAATGAGCCTCAGACATAGGCACGTTCGGACACCCGGTACCCTTGAATTCAACTGACTTGGCGGTTAGAAGGCGGCTTCGTGACTTAATCAAGGCTGGGTAATGATCAGAGAGCACGCGCGCGAGAGAGACGCAGACTGCGTCGCGGGCGCAACCAGCCTTGATTAGGTCGCAAAGCCTCGCCTTCCAGCCGCCAAGCTAGTTGAACCAAAGTTTACATATCACGCAAGGAAACTATTTCGAATTATTTGAAACTTATTCGAATTATAATCGGCAAAAACAACCTAACTGCCCTCGTACCGGTGCTGATGCTCCCGTCATAGATCTAAAGAAAAGTAAAATAGGAATTTTCCAAAACTACGAAAATGAGAGAAATGAAAACTGAAATGCCTTCAATATTGCCTTGGTATTCAATGTAAAACATTTCTCTCGGATATGACTAGGATATAAAAGCGTTATATTTGATTCATGTTCTCTTTCTTTATTTACCAGATTATAAAATTTTGAAACTGGAGGGATGAGAATTTTCAGATGATTTGGCGCAATACACAAGCATCTCTCAAGCAATGGAACACGATTGAAGAATGAAAGTCTAGGACGTTTCGTGTTAGGATGTCGTTTCATTTGCTATTAGCTATTAGCATTACCTATTAGCTTTCCAAGAAGCCCTTGAATACCAGTTTTTTAGGTGTGCCTGCGCAAAGACAAAGTGATCCTTGTATTTTCAAATTTAGGTTGAATCAGTGCTGCAAAAGCCAATTCGCAAATCTGAGCAAATTTTACTAACCAGGCTCCTCCAAAACTTCAGAGAGAAAAGCCGACATCTCATCGCCACAGTCAAGTCCTTCGCTTACTTCCTCATGGAACAGCCTATGCAACTTCGATTGAAGAAGAAGTTAACTGATTTAGCAAACAAACTTTGCAGTTCGGACATCTCTTCGTTCCAAGACGTTATCAATCTTCACGCTGGCACTTTTTTCTCCCCATTTCATGGTCAGAACACCATCTTGCACGTCCGATTCGATGGTGACCATACGTGGTTTTTGTCTACCGGTATAGAATCTGAACAAAAATGGGCCATAGGGTGGACTTAAAGCTAAGACACATACTTTCCATCAGTGCCATTGATGACAATGAAGCTTCTGTCAGCAACCTCTCCCGAGATCGGACCAGTCTCGGTGCAGTACATGGAAAATACCTAAAACTACCGCATCCACCCCACGGATCAGTCTTCACACAAGTTACGTATGTCATTGAGAAATGAAAATTTACGCAAAATTTGGCCAATTTAATAAAAAAATTTGATTTTTGAAAAAAAAACTGACCTTCTTTCCCTTGCAAGACTTCACAGGGTAGACATAAAGCGCTTTCACCGTCCCAACAGGAATCAGAGGCGATTGCTCATGATAGACGTATTTGTAAAGTAATCTTACTGTCTGAATGGAGGAGTAGTCATCACTCTTTAAGTCGCACTTTCTACGGTCTGTTTCAATCACGCTGTCCCCTTTCAGAAAGCACGTCCGCTTCGCATGTGCTTCGCTTACCGATGCATAGCACATAAAGGGGCACCGTAATTGAAATAAACGTTATAAAAGTAGTCATTAAATTTTTTCTTTCGTTGAAAGGAGAGATTTGTAAAACAGCAACTCGAAGAAGATTAATCCATAACACTGTTCTTCTACCTATAGAACGATATAATTTTCTCACGTTGTAAGCTATTATTGATGAGCCAACAATGCCAAGAAACAGCTTTTTATCATCGATCATTTTTCATGAGGGAGGGGAGGGAGGATCTGAAACAAAAATGATACGAAGAAATGTAGCAACATTGTTCCATCTTGAAAGACATTTCATGATTGCAACACGACGAAATCACAGGACAGTTGTGAATTATCAATATTCATTAACAATTTCCGAACCAACAACAAATGAGGTGGTCAATTTGGCACTCAATAATGAAATAACAATTGACGGTACTCAATGACTCTAAGGTGGATCAGAAGGCTGATTTCTTGTAGCGGACATAGACAGTCTGGCCTACGTGAATATGACCCTGAAATAGAATGTTTGGATGCACACAATAATCAATAATAATCGACAGTACAATAATCGCAGTAATCATATTGTAAATCGTTTATTGCATAGGTACAGAATTTCGTTTGGGAGAGAGAGAGGGGAGGGGCAACAAAATTTTTTTTGAATGAGTTCTAGGGGCCCATAACCACGAAACAAAAGGGCGGTGACGGCCCGCCCCCCCCCCATAACAAAATTTTCACACGGCTTTGAAAAATATTTCAGTAATTCATAAGTATAAACAAATCACTTGCACATCTCAGTAACTCAAACAAACTTTCAAAATTTTCGCGACCCATTCTCAAGCCCCCCCCCCTGCTTGTAAACGCATGCCTACCGGTTTGTCTACTCCAGCATTTACGCCAAAGATCGGTTTATCCCTGTGTTGCTCACGCATGGGACCTGGAGGAGCAAGACGAAACCTAAAATAACAATCAGAAGATGGCATTATCGACGAAAGGGGTTAATTTAGTTTGTTTACTCTCGAAGCTTTTTCAATGGTTGCATGTCTTTATCCTTTCGTCCTGTTTTTGGATCAACAGTAGTCAGCACACATCTGAAAAGTAGGTAGTTAGCATACATCTGAAAAATAAAGATATCAGGACGAAAAAAATTTTGGCTCAATTTTTCCCACTCCTTAATTTTTTTAGTTATTCCAATCATACTATAGCCGCTGCTTGCAGAATGGAATAGACTGTGAGCGTGTATCAAGCATAGGAAACGGTCAATAAATTGAAGTGACATGCATTGCTCTCAAAGACTTTGCCTAGGGGTAGGGTGGAGGAGCTTCATTACGATTACGATTATATCGATGAGCTAGAAAAGACCTTGCTGCAAAGCTGCCTCCGATTCATAGCTGTCACCTTCTAACGAGCAAAAGGCATGATTGTGACCAGCATGGTAAAGAGCTTCCTAAGAAAAGTTCTAAGCAGAGTCGGAACTTCGAACCATCTACAGTATACACTATACTTTGGAATATTCGAAAATTTTTTCGAATAATCGAGTAACCGAATATATTCGAATCAAAAATGTCGAATAATCGAATTTCGAATATTTTTAAAAACAAAAAATATCGAATATTCGAATATCGAATATTCGAAAAACAAAAATGTCGAGTAATCGAATACAGAATATTTTCGATGTAAGAAAATCGTCTAATAATCGAATATCGAATATATTCGAAATGAAAAAAAAAACCGAATGGTCGAATACATTTGAGAAAAAAATCCGAATATACGAATATTTTGCATCGATTACGTCGAATATTCAAACAAATTTCAAACGAGTTAGCACAATGAAGGACTCCGTGCAGTAGGAATCTGGACGACAAACGATGGTTGCTGATATAGCAGTCAAAATTGTGACTCTGTCATGTGTTAATCGATTACACGAAATTGTCGAATAATCGAATAACTTCTGAATATAAATATTCGAATGTTCGAATATTTTCGAAAATCAAAATTTTCGATTAACCGAATAATCGAATAAATTCGAAATTGACAAATTTCGAATAAACGAATATCGAATATATCCGAGATTTTGGAATTTTTGAATAATCGAATTTCGAATAAAATTTATTCGAATACTTTATTCGAATACTCGAATATTTATTCGATTCGGTCCAAAGTACATATATTATACACCATAGCCTGAAAAGACGCTGCCTTGCGAGATAATAAGAATATTCGGCTTACCAAATAATTCCAACACACAAAAAGCTTTGCGATTTTGACCACCACCGTATACCCACCGTAACCACACAAGATGACGTTTCTATGCAGAAAAAGTATCTTTTGACGGCATGTTATATAGTATTGAAATTTTTTAGATCTGGACCCACTCAAAAGGAGGGTCGGGACCCAAAATTTCATTTTGCGTAGGAGATGCATTTCTTGTGTTCTTTTAGTAGCGATGATCTGGGGAACCATTTGTGTTTGAGAGAAAGCTACTGTGGATTTACGGTGAAGATAATTAAGAAAAGCGCTGAGCTGAATTACGCACACTTTTCCTGATTTTAGCAGTTAGTGGATGATTGCAACACCCATAAATGCAGCAAAGTAATTTTTTCGCTAGCATATTTTTAGGTAAGGCGCAACAAGGTAAGGGGTTCCTTTGGTTCCGAAATTTCTTGGCGTGTGTGCCTGGTAGAGTTTGGAAAAAAACGGGTGATTCTTATACATGTGAGAATGGGGTATTTAGATGCGACAGGCACTAACTTCATCTTGATAGTTTTGTATTTTGTTGATTTGACTTTTGCTGACTAATATAATGTTGTTTCTAGTCTACAGAAACTTTACAGTTGCGAAAACGAATTCGTAACTCGCAAGTCAATCAATTCTTACCTTGTACATGGTTTGAAACATTGTAATTTAGTTTCGCCGATCTTCACAACAATCCATTTATCTTCGTCCCAAGCTGGGCAGCCATCTACGACAATATTTGGACGAAAATTCGATGTGCTGACCTAGCAGAAAAACCAATGCTCTTTTTTCAAAGTGCATTACAGCATTTTTGCAAAATCGTGAGCTCTCATTAAGGTTGGTGACTTACATCTTGTTCCAAATGAGTATTTAAAGACTCTAATGATGCTTGCGTAGTGAGCATGTATGGAGATAGATCTGCATAAGCGTTCTAGAAAACAAAACTCACGTTGAGACCATTAAAACCTGGAGAATTACAGGCAAGTAGTTCCTTTATTTTTTCTGCACGAATTTGGGAAACATTTAGAGAAGAAGAAGCTTAACCCAAACTTGGCCAGTCATTGTGACCCTACGGTGTCGTACAGAATTTTGAAGCAAAAACGAACTGCTGATATTTCCCTTAGTAGAGCAAGAGTAGACATAGCACAGTGAGTAGTAGAAAAAATCAGCTGTCCAGAGGCAACAAATTGAAAATTTGTGAAGAAGGCCATTTCGCTCTCTTTAAAAAGCCAGGAAAAGTTGTCATTTTCGATTTTTTCGCAGTATTTCGTCCAAAAAGAATCCTTAAAATCCGGATTTTCGCCACTGCTCTCTTGACCGTTGGCCACACAGTGAGCAAAGCTTGCGCTATCTTCCTACATTTCAGAAAATTATGCCTTTTCAAAATAGAGGTTTTAAAGAAATTCAAGCTTTCTTCCCATTGAAAAAAGACTCTCATGATATTGAATAAACAAAACTAAGCTTCGTGAAGTCAAAAATTAGCTCACTCTCTGTAACGTTTTGATTTTGTTTGGAAAGATGATTTGGGAAAAAAACTCGGCCACAAAGTTGGATTTCATAACGTGCATCAATTATGTAACCCAACAAATTCAATGGAAACATACCAGAACTCCTTCTACATCAAGCCGCTGATAAAATTGATCACTGGGTTATTCATGGCATAGGAATATCAAGAAAGTATTACAGTACACGATTTTGACTTTGTTGGTTTTAGTGGAGTTCTATTGATGAGCTCACTCACATCATCAGCTCTCTTCGGCACGTTATTATTCCACCAGTCTGGATGAGGAACGCATGTTCTCTCCGTAAACAGCCCTTCATTGTACATCAAGAGGCGTGCGTCTAAAGCAGTGATAATTCGGATCCAAATTCACAGATGTTCTTGAAAAACCTGGCTCCTGCAGAGCGTCAGCAAAGAATTTAGCTGCTTCGTCACCACAGTCGAGACCATCAGTGCGCAGGTTTGAATGGAGCCTGTAATTCTATACTGTGGGCACATATGGAAAAGAGTTGATGCTAAAAATGTGAAAGTGTTGAAAACTAGATCAAATTCATTCACGGCATACTTTGAACTAGATTAATTATGCACGTTGTTGGAAAAACAGTAAAGAAAGCGAAATAAAGTTACAAATAATGTTCCACGCAATCTTGCGAATCTCTATAGATGTGGATAGACGGTCTTGCTACGTAACTGTACAGCTACGAAAATTTTTAAGCAACATACGAGAATGTGCAAAATTCTTTGTTAGTAAGAGATGATGTGGATTCAATACATTATGTTTGGAATAAAATTCTTGCGAAATGAAAGAAGAGTATAAGCAAGAAATTAGAGTAAGCCAAATATGTAATAACCCACAATGCCGTTTTTACCAAATTTCTCTGACGGACGCTTTCGATGTCGATGGTCGCTCTATTCCCTTCTGGACTGCTTACAGTCAGTTTATTGTCGGCAACGCTGCATTCGATGGTCACCATCACAGGCTTCTGCCGAGCGGTATAAAACCTAAGAGTCATATCTTCAGGGAAACTAACGATTTAGCAGTGAGCATCACGGAAAATATTAGGTTGTCTCGAAAGTTTTGTCGGTTTTTTCAAACCACTGTAAAACCTCACGCACAATAAAGACCTGAGTGTGTTTTTATATGCATTCGATGCAGCTTTTCCTTCTCTTTCTTAAGGTTGCATTTTCATACCACAATCTTGTATGCTTTCTTCGATAATTGCCAAAATTCTTCACCCGTCTACTTTACCTGCTCAAAGTTGGACTAATTTTTAAAAATTTCATTCCAAAGCTCTGGAGGAGGTTAAGTATGGATCAAATAGAGCAATTCTCGGACTACAAGGTACTATTTTAAGGTTCTCATAATCTGCTGTATTTAGCTTCAAAAAATTATTTCTCCGGAGGCCTCAAGTTTTGGCAAAGTCATGAAACACGCAACTGCATAACACATGAAAGCTCTTCAAGTTTCTGCGTATTGAAACATGATTCTTACTAAACGTTATTTATGCAACATAACCAACTTTGATTCGCTTTGAAAAAGCAGCTTTTTGGAATTTTTGTTACTTATGCTTGTTAAACTTGATCAAAAAGCCGCGGTTTCTACCAAATAAATAATTATACCGGACTGAACGTGGTCCATGTAATCTAAAATAGGCACAATGTAGTCAAAGGTTTGCTCTACATAATAGTTACCAGCGCTCTTTGGAAACATCAGAATAAAAAATTCTAAAATTCAGGAAAGATTTGGCGTTACTGCCGAGCTGCTCAAAAAGCCGTGGCGATAACGTTGCAAAAACAGGGTAGATCGAATAGCAAGTATAACTGTAAAAGAGAGAATAAAAATCTGAATCAAATGCTACCTAAGCCGTCCATGGATTGCTGTTCTGTGAGTTTAAGTGAGCGATGAAAGAAACCGACAAAACTTTCGGGCCAACCTAATATTTATGGCAAGCCTATTTCAAGAAGGATAAATTGAACCTTACCGCCCAGTTTTGCCATCAATGACGACGAAGAAGCGATCAAAATTTTCTCCAGATACAGGACCGAGGGGATGGCAGAAAAACGAGAACACCTAATATAAAACTTCCAAGTGTATAACTATCCATACCAAATATACGATCAGTGAAATGCTGATCTTTTTGTTGATTTTACGCATCTACGTGCATTGATGACTATTTTTATTTTGAAATTTAGAAAACTATGAAGATCTCGTACATTGATTCCTTTGCATGATTTTATGGGGTACACATACAGTTCCTTCACAATTCCTATAGGTATCAGGTCGCTTTGAGTTTTCCTTTTGAAGTATTTGAACAGCTGAAACTTTGCTAGTACATAAATATCGGGAACAGCATTTTACTCACATAGTAAACAAGCAGAGAAGCGCCAATTCCAGCAGCTACAAGAGTCTTCCGTTCTTGCCACATAGATAAAACCGAGAGAAAAACAAGGCAAGAGTTCAAAGAGCATTTTGCGAGAGAAAAATGGTGATGTTCGATAAGAGAGCGGGCGGGTCAAATCGATAATGCTGTCAGAAAGATAGCATATTTGGGTAAGAAATACTGAACAACCATAGGATTATCCATTAGATCTCTTTCTCATGCACGGAATTATTCAAAAGATTCAAAATGTTCCAAGTGCTCCGGAAACGGTCGACAAAAATCTTTATAGGTGAGAAAGATACATCACGAAGTAATAATGCATACTCTCGTGATTAGCATCGCTTTAGCTCCAAATAAATTCAAAATTGAAATTTTCGAAGAAGATCGAAGATATTTTGCAAAAGAGTGCTGCGAAATGTGTAATACAGCCACTTGATCAACTTCTTTGTCCGGTGCTATCCATCAGCATTGTTTGCCAAGGACTGCACTTATGTTGTTTTTGGGTTGTAATAGGCTGTGTTACGAAGTTGATGCAGAATCAATGCACGTTTTGCGTCTCTCTTTGACTAACAAGCAATACTTCCATCAATTCCACTTTTTGAAGTGAAAGCACCAAATAGACTAAGAGCTTTGCCACTTATCGTTTGAATGTACACTTGAATACAGCAGAGGAAAGCAGAGACTGTGATACACAAAAGAAACTTCTTTTCATCGCATGAATATTCCTGTGACCTCGTTAATCACTACTCTATAGAAATTAGATATTGACAGCCGTTTTGTTTAGAAAAGAGGTTTGAAAGATGTAAAACGGCCCCGAGGATTTTCAAGCGATACTTAAGACATTCAAGAACTCCCTTCAGTCCCAAACATCAAAGTTTTCTGACATTTCCATTTCCTGAGTCTGACTTGAACAAGCACACCTTGTTTAGCTTTGAGGCATGTGCAGAGCTGTGGTATTTCCACAAACAAGGAAATCAACATTCGCATTGAAAAAGAGTCGAAAAGAGTTTGCATAGATCATTGTGGGAGGCTCCTCAGTTGCTTGATTCCTACTGAGCACAAGCAGTCTAGTGATTTCCACCGTTATATAAAAAAACTCATACAGTTATGGCTAAAATAGCAAACGCCCATCGATTTTCCTTGGTGCTAATGATAAATTGTGCTGAGGATTTTGTGTATTGCGCTGCTGTGAGATGAAACAGATGAATTTATTTTCAACACTATTTATAGGTTTGTATTACGATTTGAGCATGCTTCAATGACATATCCAGATTCAAAAATCTCTTTATCAGTATTGAAAATGGAAAGGGAAGTTTCTATAGTTCTATAAAATCATATAAGATCAACACTATGTTCATCTTGGCATTAAACAAACTGAATCGATCCTTATCATCAGAAAAATGTGATAAATTTCGGTAGTATACATAAAACGTGCATGGCAAGTAACCAGGGAACGATACTTAGTGTTTAGTGTTTGTTTTTGGAACGATACTTTTGAGATGAGAGTATACCATTATACTCGTCTCGAAACGCTATTTCGAAACTGACTTCCGTTCCTGCTGAACGTTTTTCTGAAAGGAGTTATGGAGGATTTTCGAGCCAAGCTTGGTCGCCCGAGGGAATTTACGATCGGAGTGCCAGATATCTCTAGTAGGCTGTGGTGTATTGGTTAAAGCGATAGCCTCATAAGCTGATGCAGATGTAGGTTCAAATCTTTCTTCTTTTTTTAGTTTTGCATTGCCTCAATTAATCTTCTTTTTGAAGGTTGGGCATCCTCGAGGTGCATGCCATTACTCAGAAAAATCAACGAAGATCATTCTTATATGAGTGCTTCCTAAATTTATTCCGAAAGGTGCTTACAAAAATGAGACGTTGCAGTTGGCTTTCTCGCACTCACCCAGCAATTCACTGAAAGCAGTATTGTACAGGAGTTTGGAATTGACCAGGATGCTCATCAAGGTAGCCTGCGGCATACCACGGGTGTCTCGAGTAAATTTACTCGAATTATGATTAATAGATACATTTTAGGGAAACAGAAATTATTTCTCAAATTTTCCATAATTTTTGAAGAGAAAGGGCATGCATTTACCTCGAAGATGCCTAACTTTTAAAAAGAAGATAAACTGAGGCAATGCAAAACTAAAGAACGCGAAGGGATTCGAACCTACATCTGCATCAACTTATGAGGCTATCGCTCTGACGACTACATCACAGCCCAACGGAGGTATCAGCACTCCGATCACATTTCCCTCGGGCGGCCAAACTTGACTCGAAAATCCTCCATAACTCCTTTCGGAAAAACGTTCAGCAGAAACGGAAGTCAGATTTGGAATCAGCGTTTCGAGACGAGTATAATGGTATACATCTCATCTCAAGCCACGGACATTAAGTATCGTTCCCTTGTAAGAAATGGCAGAAGGGAGATTGATAAAGGTATAGCAACAGGTTAATGTACTGAAGCAAAGTAGAACATGGCAAGAATAAGGGAGTTGCTAAAAAAACTCACGACAAAATAATGACGTCGGCTGTATAATCAGAGTGTTCAATAGATTCTTTACAGACTCGAACGATAAAATCTATAGATGAATGAGGGGAAGTAACGTAACTAACAGTACTGACAAGGTTCAATACAGCCCAGAGACTTATTTGTTGAGGTTTATTCTGTTATTAGGTCTAACACTGCGAGAAACAGACAGACAGACACGGCTGAATAGATTCATATGGCTTACCTAAACACCCTACCCTATTACCAGTGGCGGAATGAGGGGGCGGAGAGGCGTGCCGGGTGGCGAAATTAATGTATTCAGTGAAGCTGCAAAGATTTGAAGATCCCACTAAAAAATTTCATATGGCATGGCCAATGCCAAGCCCCCGATAAAAAATTTCTCGCACCGTCACTACCTATGATCTAATGCTATCGTCACTACTCGCTACTTGAAAGAGCAGCTGACGAAGCTTCGATGTCATCATTCAAGCTGTCCAATCGGGGCATTCTGCAACCACAGTGAATGTAGAAACTCGTACAGCTTCTCCGACACGGACACCTAAAAAGAAAAGCTTGATGTTTCTTATTCGTTACAGAATTGCGCAGCAGCATGATAGCCGATTTGCAGCGCCAGAAACTATTACAAATCCACGTTACAGTCACCATTTTGGCATATTGTTGATATGTAAGGGTCCGCAATCCCACATTTTGTGTACTCAACATACCATCAGCACCCAAGGCAGATTTCTGCAATTTCTGCAATTTTGGCCAGGATAAGAATAGAAAAATTTCTAAAGAGCCTGTACTGAAGGCGATCAGAGTCATAAAATTCTCCCTAACTTCACTGCGGCATTCTTTGATTCTCGGGTTCTTTCTATTGCCCCAAAGCATGAGAAATTTGCTAGACCCAAGACTTGACTTCTTCGGGAAGTAACAAAAGGATACTTTATAGAATTCATGTAAAAATTATTACTTATAATTCTTGTAAGGACATTCCGTTCAATGTTTTATAACAGCGTCCAGCGTTGTACTCGTATCTCGAAAGCCATAATAAGCGCCATCGCCTACATAACAATTTCAACATTATAAGCTCCTGACATACCTTGTATGGTGTAGGATTGAGAGAACGCCGGTGGTCTCCTCTGAGGCTCTCAAGCGATGTGTTCACGCGATTCTGAACTCATAACGTTGAAGATTTCCGAACTTGACAAGGAATATGCCAAGAATCAGAAACAAATTCTTTCGGAGCTCAGTATCTCAGCAATCAATAAATGGTAAATCGATGCGAAACTCGAATGTAAGCTCTATTCACAAAGCAAAGCAAAGCAAAAGCAAGCAATCTGTTGGTTTTTCCTATGACACCTAAAGCTCACAGAAAACGCAAGAGAACGATATTTGTCTTTGGAAAAACATCGCTTGCTTCTGAGCCGCCTCATCCAAATTCATTTTGTAACTAGCAACTGGAACAAGTAACCCTCAAAAATCCTTGATGCCTTTTTCAGCTGAATTTCAATATAGATCGAGGTTCTGAGTGAAGTTCTGTAGAGTATATGTAACAAAGGGATTTTCTATACCGTCAAATTTACTCACCTTGATTACATCTATCTTTGGCAATTCCTGTGCTAAAGCACCATTACACCAGAAGGTTTGCTGCATTCGCTCAATCTTACTAGCCACGACCAATGCTCTCTTTGATTCCTGCAAAATGTGGCAGCAATTTCAAATTTAACAAGATATTCGTGGTGGTCCGTGCAGATGATCTCTTCTTTTTTTTTCAGGTTTCAAGCATGTGAATATTTGAAGGCAGTGTCTCTGCAAAATTTCATTTTCCAGTTTTTCATCTTTTCGGAGTCTTCTCGCCGTGAGGAATCCATAGGCTTTTCAGCGCAGCGAAAATGAGCTTTTTCTGAGACTTTCCAGGTCCGCATTTAGTGAAGATACGCCGGATATTTTCCGCGCACCGCCTCCCCGTTCCGGCCACCACATACAAGTATTCTCCACTGAATGCGGACCTGGAATGCTACGTGAAAAGCTTATTCTCTCCATTTTCATACGCTGAAAAACCCAGATATGTGTTCCTTATGGCGAGAAGGCTCCAAAAAGGTGAAAATCTGGAGAACGAAATTTTGCCAAGACACTGCCTTTAAAACCTACTTCAAAAGGATGGCGACATAGAATCTGCGTATTGATTTTGGGATCCTCCTCATCCGCAAGCATCATCAGATCCAGTATGCAGTAGCCACTTCTGCCATAGAGCCGAAAACACTTCTTCCGACCCGGAATTGTGATTTTGGTCATCTCTTGACTCAGCTTTATTTTTGGCTGTCCGGATATCGTAACCAACTGGAAAAAGACGATCATAGCAGCCGAGCTATATCAAGGTAATTAGGGTAAACCTACTTTGTAAACACAGCCAAGAGCCGGCTGCTTCTGACAGGTGACGAGGTGGGTTCCGACTCCGAAAGCGTCAATCTCATGCTGAAAAGTCTAGAACTCATATGATCTAAAGCTGGTCAGTTTTCGCGATTAGAAAAAGTGCCAACCGACTGCTCGTTCAAAGATGTAATAGTTTCTTCATTAATGTCATTAGAGGCAACGATCACCAAGTTTTCTATCCAACTCAAGTCTGGTCTTCTGGAAAATGTTTAGAATACCCCCTGGACGAAAGGGGCCAAATTTTGAGATGCTCCATCGTATTCGTAGCACAAAATTTCGACCCACGTACAGTTTAGCCACTTTGCTGAAACGAGCTCGCACTTCCTTTGATAAGTAAGACAAATCTCCGCTGTCTATTCTGCAACCTATGGATTTGTACCCAAGCTCGTGTAAGGCCACAGTGACAGCGAGGAAGTTGATGACACCGCTCCTAAAGTGTAAGGTAGTAATTATTTGATAACAAAATGAATACCTGATTCGGAATAACCTCAACACATCGTAAGTATCAATGAGTGACTGATTGTTGCTTGGAAACGCGACCGCGTAGGCGACAAAAGCCGCCAGTTCACTTTCATTCACTTCTGATTGAGATACGCCCCAGTCTATCTGAATAATAACGATACAATAGTATGAAGGTAGAACAATCTTTTCACTATTCATCCCGATTATGGAAAGTGACATCAGCCACACCCTGATTATAATAATGAGCAGCCAACCCGCTATACCTTCAAAACTTTCACCAGTTCATTCAAAAGGTTTTGACGTAAGCGGGCAAAAAAAGATGTCATGAGAGCAAAAAGTTAATTTTCACTCCATACTGCGTCAACGGTAGTAATTTTTCAGCTGAATATTGCGTCGTTTCAAAATGCTTGAAGGCACCGCCCAGCCAGATTCTCGACTTCCATGTTTGGCCGTTCCAGGGCCCTATGTCCCTGATTCCGAATATGGAGTCGAGAACCCATAAAAACGAATTGACTCTACTGCTTTTGTTTCGACAGATTTTAAAAGTGGTTTGACGGCTAGTAAGAAGCCGATACAAAGGCTCAGCTTACGGCTCAAAAAACAACCTCAAAATCTGCCCGGTACTGATTGTAAAAGAACGAACTTCAGCCCCATCGTTCACGAAAAAAGGAATCTATGGGTAACATACAGTGGCGCTCTTAGGACTTCCGCCCTGAGGGGGGGGGGCAAAAATATTCTCCAAATAAAGGTGTGTGGCAGTAGCCACCAATTCCGAGAATTCTTTATGACGCTTCTCAAGGCCCAACTCCTGAAGTCTTGAAAAGGGGCATGGCGGCAACACCCTCGAAAAAATTTATGGGCTGGAATTATTGAAAAATTTCAAAATTAATTATTTACAAATACAAACAAGTCATCTGCACATTTCTATAACTCATGTAAGTAGTCATCTAAATAGATTTTGTTCACGAAAAGCACTTCTCGTTAAGCAGCGAATGATCACTAGTTTGGTAGTGATGTGAAAATGAGATTAAGAGAATAAAAAAAAGAATTGAAATCTTTACATGAAATGACAGGATTTTTAGTTGGTTAGATGACGACGCTAAAACTGAGCTTATGCTTGAGTGCAATTAGTGGCTTTAGTGATTGTATGCCACACCTTTTCCATTAACCAGCTTCTCTTTTCCAAGCTGAGATTGTAGAGATCGCACTCGCGAGACCCATCCTTCGCTTTCAATCTGCGCGTTCGTAAATCGTCGGCGGTAGAGAACGAACACACGAAACTGTGTGCTTGCGTCCCTTTGACGGGTATACCGAAAAGCTTTCCTGCCAAGACGTTGCTTGTGCCATCAAAACCTGGAAACTGTAGATGTAACAATGCCATGGAAGACCATACGATGACTTCTACAGCAACTACACCTCCTATGTAGCAATATTTGCTCGCCGTTAGTCCGCCATTCGGCCCTTGTGCACGTCGCAGCCCAAACTCAAACAACTTCATCTTCTCTCCAGCAACCTATAAGTAATGTAATTGTTGTGATAGCACCCTGGCAAAAAAGTCGTACATGTCTAAATCTTGCAGCATTTGTGGCTATTAGGGATGCAAAGTTGATTAGATTGAGAAACGTGGTTTCTAAAAGCTGGCATATTGCCAATGGTCCTTCCACTGTTATAAGCGGTTCCTTTGGAAACACGACGGATCCTAAATACTTTGCATACAACAGAACTTCATGAACCATCAAAGATACCTTCAGGGACAGCTTCGATCTTGACCTTTCGACAATCCAACTGAGCCAGGTAATCAAAGAAGTCAGGATTGCTATCAGGTGGAAGAAGCGTTCTTATATATTCAATGTCTGCAAGAACATTGTGAGAGTTGAAGGCAGAGGCTCAGGAAAATTGCGAGTGCGAGCTTTTCGTACCTGCATGGCTTCTGGATCCGGAGTCCGAAACTATTGAAAAGTCAAAAAAAAATGCTTTCTAGGCGTTTTCCGGCAATGGAGATTGCGGAGGAGGCTGGGCGAGGAATTCCCGGCAAAAACAGCGACTGGCTGCAGGATACTGTAACTCCACCCATTTTGGCGGCAACTGGCTGATCAGCTCAAGCAGCCAGTCCCAACTCAGTTGGCAATCCCTCGCCCAATCCCACCAGCAATCTCCGATACTGGCAAACGCTGTGAAAATCACTTTTTCGACTCTTTAAGCACAGCCCTAGACTCAACGCATTCAGAAGGCAAGGATATAAAGCTCGTGAATGCCATTTTTCCGAACACTGCCTTTATTCTGTGGCAAGAGGAAACTCAACCTACCACTTTTACTGAATCTGAAGTTTTCCACAAATCGTAGGCAGTCCTCGAGACCAGCGAAGACCGTAAATTCACCTTTGAACGGATTTTTTCTGGAAAGCTAGCTCTTATTTTACTGACTGAATATAGGGAACAATCACCTAAAGAAAAGATCAAACGTAGCTATGTCGTCATGCGAACCAGCAAGCCAATAGCCATAGCACATTGTTATCTAGATAGAACTTTAGCAACATAAATGCGCATTTGTGAATTTGTGAACAATACAAGATTCCAAAAAGGTCTTGAACGTTCGATCACTTACAACGGAAGGATACTTGGATGGAGTGGCGTTCCCAAATGAAAATGTACTATCTTATAGAACATGAAACGCTGATTCGAAATCTTTTTTTCCTTATCTGCGAAGCGCTTCTGGGAGGGGAGTTATGAGAATTTTTTCACGCAGAAATTTGAAAGCGCAGTTACAATAAAATCATTCAAAACTTAAAGGCAGCGTCCAGGCAGATTTGGACGTATGGGGCTCTAACGTGGAAACAATTTTCGGGGGTCTAACTAAGATACTGCCCAAGCGGCAGCGCAAACGGTGCAGTCGCGGCTGAGAAATTCGTCCGCAAACCAGCCCCCGTGACCGTATTCGCATGGATTCACGGCTCAGCACATCAGTTTCGCGCGGGTCCTAGCGCGAAAGCGCCACGAATCTATGCGAATACGGTCACGGGGGCTGGTTTGCGGACGAATTTCTCAGCTGCGACTGCACCGTTTGCGCTGCCGCTTGGGCAGTATCTTAGTTAGACCCCCGAAAATTGTTTCCACGTTAGAGCCCCATACGTCCAGATCTGCCTGGACGCTGCCTTTAAGTCCGTGAGGTCAAATGAGGTCATAATTACTACCAAGGGCTTTAATGCAATAGATGACTTCAATTTAATAAACTCTACCAGTCATCACACCTTTCTAGCGCCGGAAGAATTCCAACACCCATTTTTACCTTGGCCAAATAACTGAATTTTTACGTCTAAAAATTCCCAGAACTCCCCTCCCAGAAGCGCTTTGCAGATAAAGAAAACAGGTTTGGAACCAGCGTTTTATACTCTATAACAGAATATACAGGGTGTCCCAAAAAAATGTGCCTACTGTTTGATTGTAAATAACTCTCTTGTAATGAAGTGCTTCGAGAAGCTTCAGGTACCGTATTGTAGAGCGAGGCTGAACTTAGATTTACAGTATGGAGCGAATCATCGATTGCTCTTCATTACTGTAGAGCTACGGTAAGAACTTCCAGCATATGGAACCATTGTGAAATATACCACCAAACAAAATTTTTTTCAAAAAATCTGAAAAATCGTGTACTAGGGTTTTCGCGCATGCTGATTTTACTTAACAACTTTTTACGAGTGTTTTCAGCTTTTCTGAGGGTGTAATTACCTTTCTGACAAATGCCGGGAATTGATTTACTACGATTTACCGGGAATAACTTAGGAAAGAAGCATCATAGTAAAATGAGAATTTCAAATTCGAAACCAGCGGCTCCCATTACCTTAGTGTAAGAGTTTCCGGCTTGTTTGGTCTTGTTCCGAGGCAAAATATAGCCTCCAATGACCTAAAATCCTTGTCGAAGTTTGTACCGTAATCCTACAGTAATAAAGGGCGACAGATGATTCGCTCCCATACTGTAAATCTAAGTTTAAGCTCGCTCTACAAAACGGTACCTAAAGCTTCTCGAAAAACTTCATTACAAAAGAGTTATTGACAATCAAACAGTAGGCACATTTTTTTGGGACACCCTGTACATTTCGTATAAAAACGCCACTACGACCAACTATCCTTCTCTTGTCAGAGCTTTCTAGAAGCTTTCGCAAATCTTTGAATACTACTTTGCAAGGCGGGTTATAACTCAGGTCTATGATATTATATAAACGGATTACTTACCCTCCCATTATAGGACACGCTAACAATTTTTTGGAAAAGTTGAAGGCATATACTGAACTACAAATTGCCCCGAGCGAGCTGGAAACTTTGTTACAGATTTGTTATATATTGCTGAGTTCACAAATAAACTTTTCGCATCACCGTTATCTTTGAATCAAAAGTTACGATATGTACATCTGACGGGGGTTCTCTCAACAATAATAAGAATTCTGATTATAGAGCAGCTCTACAAACATGTGGTATTTGGAATCACCAGCTCAAAAAGCCCAACAAGAAAATTTCAGTTCTTGTGAAAAAGGTTTTCGATTTAGTTGCAGTCACGACATATGTGTTGGAAGTTCCTACGCATAATCCGCCAAGATAGCCATACAAAATACTAAGTTTTCCAAACGCAGGAAATATGAGCAATCAAAGTTTTCGACAGTTTTTTTGGGGGCATCTTGTATTACCTGGTAGTAATCCGTTAGTAAAGGCTGCACTAGCCAGTCTTGCCCGTTCGAAGGCATACCGTCGACCATGTAAGCCGGAAATCGCTCTAAAACAAAAGAATCATAAAATGAGAACATCTTTAGCAATATCTCAAATTCCAATACCGCATATAACCCTCGACAACACAAAGCTCTAGGAATTCCACGTGATCCTCTTAAATAGATTTTTTGCTATCGAACCCGAACAGAGAGCAAGAAACCGTATAATTTGGTCCCAGAAATTAGCTTCCCGTTTGACTGACCAAAGCGATATAGAGACTTATGACTCAGGTGAACTACGTTATGGCAGGTGTCTTTTCCCTGGGAGGACAAGAAAAAATGCACGCACAAGGTCTTGATCACTTTGTAGCCCAAAGGAAATTCAAATATGCATCGAACGAATGGAGAAAAGCAAGCTTATTCCCACATTAGTGCTGCCTACATAATACGAATAAAATCACCATTTAAAAGCTACGGCGCTATTGAGTCTTAAAAGTTTATGCAAAACTTTTACATAAATCTGAATGTTTACTAGTACATTTATTCAGATGTGTACGTACGTCGAACAAAAAATGTCATTTTTGAACCGATCCGGGAAACTTTGCACACATACTTCGCGGAGGGATGGAAGCAGGAAGAAGGAGAGAGGTAAATGAGTATGCTATTACGCATAAGATAGATCAAATCGACTACCATTCGAATCTACATTTTTGTAAACTTTTAACAAAAGGGTGAGAGATGGTACAGGGGTAAGAGGCATGCTGAATGCAGAAACGCAGTGGGAACTAGCATATGAAAATGGGACAGGGTAACGTGTACAAGCGGAGCGGAATGCTCAGCTCCATCATATTATTTCGACAGAGGCAGAGCGAAGGCGGCAGTGACGATCTTAGGAATCTTCTGGGGCAAAAGGACAACAGAAAGATTTCTCGCATGCAGGGAGGTGGCATTGGCCGAGACTTTTAAAAAATTTTCTAGCTTTCCGAGTTTTTTACATATCTATGACCCTAAAGCTACGGAAAAAGGTGTGACGCTCTTCACACTTACACTTCGGAAGCGTGGTTCCTAGTATTTCGCTACTTATCGACATGGATTTATGAATTTCCAGCGAAAATGAACTGGAGGCTGGAAGTTGATACACAGATATAGCTATAGACGACTATTAAAAGGAAACGAAACTTGGTCGACGAAAAGCTACAGCTATGAAAATATTCGGTCCGAAAGTTCTTTCCGTTTTTTTGTCCTATCAAAACAAGTGGAATGAAGATGGACAAACGTTTCAAAGAATATTTCATACATTTCTTCTTCCTCTTTTCAGTGATAGCGTTTCCTTGCTATTTTCTTCTGTGGTTATCAAGATAACTGCCGAAATTTCAAACCCATATTTTTAGCATACCGAAGTTTGACAGTTTTCCTTCCTTTCCAAACTTCTGGAGGAGCTTCTATAGTTGAATAGAGCAAACAAAGTGCCTTACAATAAAATTTGTCGGAATCTTCAGCTGACTATCCAGTATTTTTAAGACGATTTTTTCGAAAGTACTCACTTTTCGAAGTCTCGCCATACACGAAAGCGTACAACAACGGGAAATCTTTGAAATTTAAAAGTTCCAAGAATCGATTATCATTAGCACTAATTTACGAGGCAAATGTGCGTTTACCGCTTCGAAATAACGAACTCCGAGATTTTGGGTAAGGGCCATGGCACGTGCGAAATTTACAATTATGATTATTTCAATCGCGAAAGCACAACGAATCGGAGAGAAAAAACACCCATCAAAAAGAAGAGAGAAAGCTGCATCGAACAACATCCGAATTGCTTGTCGGCTGATGTTTGAGGTGTGGCATAACTAAATATGGAAATTGTTAACATATGAAAAAATCAGAGAAATTTTGAGAAGTCAGCTGAAGGTGCCAAAAAATATATCGTATAGCGCTTTGTTTACTCTATTCATCGTCATCGAAGCTCTTCAGAAGTTCAATATGAAAAACTTGAGAATTTGCCAAACTTGACCATGGTAAAAACGATGGGTTTGGAATTACGGTGATTATTTTGACAAACGCAAAAGAAAATAGCCAGTAGCAATACCGCTGGCAAGAGGAAGAAAAACAGCTCGAATGGCCTTTAAAGTGTTTACTCATCCTTATTTCATCTGTTTTTGTAACTGGTTGAAAAAGCGGAAAAACTTTCGAACGACGTAATATCTCCGGAGGCCTCCAACACAAAGAAAATGCTGTTTACTTATGCCCATCATTTCAGGAGTGACAATTCTCTGTCAACTCACCCGACTCAGCAATGGAGCTCATGGCAATTCACAGCGGCACGATATCTTCGTTCTGATTGGTCTGTGATAGCCGAGTCGAAAGCTTTTGAAACTCTTGAAGTAACCTTACTAGATATATAACGATCAAAATTGATGAAACACATGGATGCGCACCCAACATTGCTAAAAGTCATGATGTTCCCGAACAAAACATTTATAATGTACAGCGTCAAATGTGAAGGTATCAATGAAGGGCAAGTTGCGTCAACTACAGATAGTTTCCACTATTCAAATAGTGATGGTTATACACCGATTAAGCGCATAAAGAGCGTTAGAATAGACATTTTACTCTATTCTCCCGAAATAGATCTCAATGGCAAAAACTGAACATTCCACATATACAAACATTAAGATCACAGACAAACCCTGATGCCGATGAACAAATCAGATCCAAAAGCTGACAAATCAAACGCTTCACCGGTAAAAAGGGCATAAGGTGAAAAATTCTGCCGGGTTTTCAATCCGTGAATAAGTCAAGTCCATAAGAGGCCCAAGAAGCTTTTGATTGGCAGGGGCAGACGATATATAGAATATGGTACCATGCAAACTAAATATGGGTAAGATCCAGGTGAACGAAGAGTAATGAGCGAGATATGATATATCACCTTCGTCACTTAAAAACAAATCAGACCACAAGAAGAAGTATAGGAATTCGGCTAAGTCGCATTTTGCGATGCTGCCAATCCTAGAAGTTCGGACTTTCGTCGAAGAATTTCATTCATCTCTACCTCGAGCTGGAATGGGGGTGAAATTAGAACAAACCCAACGAATCCCTGCGCATAAAATAAATCGATCCGTTTGATCGGAACTATCAAAACAGGCTTCAAGGTCATCAGCGAGATGCATAAGCGCCACGTGCGATTAATCATGCAAAATCACCTACCTTCTGCAAACATGAGGTGGCTTCGATCAATTCCTTTTGTAGTTTTTCAACTTTAGCTCTCATATCAAGTATCTCGTGTCCCTTTTTGTGCTCTGCAATACCGAGCGCCCAGAATTCATCCCGTTCCTAAAGTCACAAATTTGGGTGCTTCGAATGACCTACGCACTTGTCAAGCTGATACAAATACTCAGGACACCTCGACTGCTACAGACACTGATTAGTGTTCCACTATTGTATCAGTTACCGGTAGCGCTCCAGTACAAAATATGGGCAAAAATGTGTTCTATATCGCAAGCAACTTTTGTAAAGAATGTTGTCGTGTACGTGAAAATTAGGAAGCAATCTTAAGGGAGCGTGACCAGATCATTCTGAAGACAAACAAGACGAACCCCTACCCCTTTACATGGTATGACGGTAATTGCCGCGTGTCTTACTATTGGTAACGCACAGTGGATTTCACTGTTGTATCATGCTTGGAAAGATTAAAGATAAGTTCAGCTACAATTAATCACAGGATCAAGAAGCAATACCGACGGGTACACTTCCATATGAGGCATATAATGATAATGCAAAGGGATAGATGTTGCTTACCTTGTCTCCCGCCATCCTCCCTTCTGTGGTGAAATTTGGCTGCGTCTAAATAACGTAATGTTTAGTGAAGAGAAAAAAGGAAGCATTCACACAAAAACGATGATGAAATGACTCAACGGTTTGTTCAAATTGTGGTGGACTGGGCAGTGCATCAAGTGGTGGACTGTCGACGGTCTCCTCCTAAAAAAAGAAATCATGGTTTATTGCGTTCTAACGTACCTTACCTTAACCGTGACCACATCTGTTTGATCCGCATTTGCATTTGTCAAGTTCAGTCGGCTGGTCAACGAGTGACTTTCCACCGCAAGAGAAGAAGTAACTGAAAAACGATCGAATCAGAAGAGAAACTGAAGTAGAAATTGGTTTCAACAGAGGTATATATAAAAGCAATGTTAATCACGCACATGAATGGCTGCAAAAGGAATCCAATCCAGATACTGTGCTGACAGTGTCAGTGTTTGTTGAGGCTACACCAAATACAGGAGCTTTCGAGTCTGACTGCAAAGACCCTCGGATCTTATCGACAGGAGAACGTACAAAAAAAACATACAACCCGATCTAACACCTTCAACTTGCATTCTTCATAATTCTCGTAAGCTCGCATTGCAGCATTGTAATTCTTCGGTGTGCTCATCGGTAACACATTTAAGGTTGCATAACCGCTGCTCGATTCTTCTTGAGAACTACTACTGGACGAGATTAGTGGAGCACGAGGAGGTGGAATAGGGGGCAATTTTGAACTGGAAAACCATTTAGTCAAGCATCAGTTTTGCCATTCAGAAAGCCAAGCGAAGAACTCACACTCTATGTGCTTCACTGTGAAAGTCACTTCGTTGAGAAAGAGGAACAGTAGCCTCAGGACCAGTCCCCCAAATGTGAGACGTAAACTGTGGCAAGGTCGCTTCTCTTTTGCCACCACTGGTAGCTTGAGAATTGTTTGAAGAAGTAGCTTCTTCTTCATGAATATCTTCCACCACCATACTTAAACTGGATATAAGAATTAAGTTGTAATTATAAAGCTCACCCTTTACTATCCACCAAACGGTACTTGTTCATACGATCCTTGAACATCCGCTGACTTCTGTTCTTCAAATACGAGGCTTTACCCTTTACTGCCACAAGTTCCCACCTCAAATGATATATACTCTATTTAATCATTGCACGCATAAAAAGCCAAAACAGGAAGAAAGCCGTTCAACTTACTTTTTGGTCTTGTCTTCCAAAGCAACATTGAGTAAGGCTGCTCGCCTGCGAGAAGGGCTTTCGCTTTCTCCCACTGCATATCATGAAGTAAAGATACACAAGGTATCAGAAACAATTCTTAACAAACCTTTTGTTTTCGAACTCGGGGAAGCTGGCGAGCTGCTCTGCGATTTCTTCCTTTTCGTCTTCTTATCCTTTTCTTTAGCCGACTTTTCGCTGGATGACATCTTAGCAGCCTAAACTAAAAATTTGTTTTATCAGTCTTGGATATTTAGACGCCTTTCGCAATAGAACATGCATTACCTTTCCTCTTCTTCGCAAGGACAGTCTTGCAAGAAGTCCGCGTTTCTGCGGAAGCACATTATCTTCACTGGTTTCCGCATCGTACCTGTCTTCATCAACGCACCTGAAAGCATTCTTTACTGTGACCCAAAATATATTTCACTCAGTATTAGTAAGTTCGTGTAAATGCGTGGCAGGAAGCGAGATAGCTAGCTCACCTAGAGTTGAGTTGTACAGCATCATTCGAGCGACCATCAGTTTCAAACTGAGTCGGAAAGCGACCACGAGGTGAATGCGCGCTTGGCATAGAATGGAGTAAATTCCTTGCCCATTCCTCATCATTACGCGAAGGATTGGTTGTTTGAAAAGGATCAAATTTCTAAACAACAGCACTCCTAGCGATCCTAGCAGATCCTAGTGCAACAAGTATCTAATCAAGGAAATTCTGGGAAAGATGATGAATATCTAACCTGCTGATAAGAGCTGCTCCCCTCGAATGCTTCGTCGCAAGATTGCTGCTTTGGTCGGCGAGATCGAGTATGATGGGGTCGCGCACCATCCCCAGTTTTGGGAACTGGATAAGTACTTCTGAAAAGATTTGCAGATTGTACCAAAAAGAATGCAGCTCACACTTGTTTCGTTACAAAATAACAGGTAAAACTTGCTAAAAACCCTATCCATAAAACAGAAAAACTTTGCTAACGAACCTCTGGAAGCCACTGCGAACGAATGAAGAGGTTGGCTCCAGATAACTAGGAGTGGCAGTCACGTGCTGACTCCCAATTCGGTTGAAGTTGAAATGCTGGAAGAAGTAAGTTGTAGGTGATTCCTAGCTTACAAATGAACTCGAACGCAGAGGCACTTACCACTCTTAGGCCTTCACCGGCATCCATGGTATCGATGATTGCTCGAATACGTTCCCGCTTTTTCCGGTGATTTTCAGTATCAACGTGCTGCAGCACGACTAACTTAGACAAGGAGTTGAATCATAATCAAGTTCCTAACCTTAGAGTATTCACCCAAGGAAAGGCCAGTGATTCCACAGGGTGAACAAGAGTGTACAACAGGACTATTTGCTTCAAGTTTGATATGATGGCTGAGCGACAAGTAATGCACTTCTAATTCCTGCAACAGTCAACGCGCTCTAAGTGTTATTCAAATAGATTCTGACAGGTAGAATAATGTAGATAAGATGTCTCAAAGAACAACAAATGGGAACAAAACATGGCTTCGTCACTTCATATAAACTCACAACTGGTAGCCAAATGCATAGAAAGAATTGTAATTAAGTTTACATCTCTACAGAAGTAATGTCAGAAATCAAAGATAACTTCCAAGATAGCTCTTTTTGATTTCCAAATCATTTAGATTGAAATCGCTAAGAATAAAAAAAATCAAAAGGAAACTGTCAGTTTTGCAAGTAAAAGCAAATGAAAAAATGTAAAAAAAATAAACGAATGGATAAACTCACTAATGGTTCCTCAAAACTCAATTCACATAGCTGACACCACACTCGCATGTGCGTCGTAGGGCGGAAGATCCGCGAACGTTCGCTGCTTGCTAAATACGAGTGTACACACAAAGTAGGTCAAAAATCTTTCCGATACATTCACACTAGCGATATACTCGATAGTAAACTGAAGGCAAATGAGATTGCCTATTTGATGTCTAATGCAACAAGTACAGTGTTAAGCAGACGTAGCCACCCTCCAAAAAAATTTAGTTGGCTGTCCAAATTTTCGCAACTAGATAGATTGTGAGTTTCCGAAAAGGAAATAGTGGTCATCATTTCTGAGTGCTTTAATTGAGTTGGGCGCTTATTATTTGAGAAGGAAAGCACTACATCACGGCGCCGATGCTGCACCATCCGGTAGCAGTTCTACAGATGGCCCTATGACCTTCTGTTTGATCTATCCACAAAGTGGATAGGCCAGTCTAGATAGGTCCAGATAAGTCCACTCAAGCTTTTTTTCAAACCTTTACTACTGACTGCTCTGCCCACTATCGCTTCCTGCTGTGCTTAGTATGGAGACCAAGTTTCTTCTCCAATTCGAGACTGCCTCCGCTCATCAGGTATAACTTGCATGTTTGACTGCTTTGTGAGCTTGGATGTTCGCAGAGCCTGACGATCTCTGAGAGGAATTTCTGCCATTTCATCTGTTTCAGAATTCCTAATCAAATATGCTGTTCTGTTATACATGCCTTACGTAGAGCTGGTAGTCTTTAAAGGTAACGTTCAGCGATTTCGGCGACTGGAGCGAGCACAGATGGACAGGATCGAACACCAACTGGAGGCGTGATCGAGGCACCGCCCCCTGTTCTTAGCCTTGTTCGAAGCGATTTCTCAGTTCAGAACGCACCTTATTCAGTCGGACTTGGACTGTTGCCTTAGGGACCCGTCATACTTCGCCGAAAAAAAGCTTAAAAGAGCCCAAAAGAGCTCAAAAAAGTCCGAAAAAGCCCAAAAAAGCCCGAAAAAACCCAAGGGCCGAAAAAACCCGAAAGCGCCAGAAACAGCAGAAATGCAGAAACTAACTTTTGATAGAATTCTGAAATTATTTTGTTGTGCAGACAACAGAAAATGAACAAAAGGACTCAGTAGCGAAATCAACACACATGCCTTGGCGCCAAAACGTGCAAGAAGTGTTCTGGCTCCTTCTGGCGCTTTTGGGCTTTTTTGAGCTTTTTCGGGCTTTTTGGGTCGGCGAAGTATGAAGAGCCCCTTAGTCAGGAGCCGTGCTCTCGCAGTGTGTCAAATTTTCATCCCTCTAGAATCACGGTGGACGGTGCATTCAAAGAGATTGAGGACACAAAAAAAATGAAGGGTCGTTACTTTTAAGTTCTCATATACAAAGTTCACATGAGTCCTGAGTACTGTGCAACACACATTCTTTGATTACAACTGCTTACAATTTGTGCCAATTTTGTTCCCTTTCGCGTAGAACTACAGTCGCTTCATTTCATATGATCATGTGTGCCATTGCACACACAGTCCACTTTGGCGTCCTCATCCTGGATTTGCAATCGCAAAAACGCAAGAGACTTACCGGTTGTTCTCGATTACATCATTTTGAGGTGACTAATAGCTAAAAAGGAAAGAAAATGCTAAGAACACCTTGGAAACACTTACCTGAAGGGTTTTTTCTTACACGAATCCAAGATGGAGACGCCAAAGGTGAAGTGTGTGTGCAATAACACACATGATTATATGAAATGAAGCGACTGTAAGCATGCGCACTCTAACCAATAGGGCCCATCTGAATGCCCAGACCATACGCGCGCGAACGCGGCGCGAAGCTCTGGGGTGGCGATTGTACTTACAGGAAAGGGAGCAGGTGATTGACACAGAGTGTAGACTCCGCACATGCACTCACATTCTGCCCCACTTTGAATCAAGCAGGAACCGACATGACCCGCGTGCGCACTGCCATAGTTTTGCTTCACATATGCGCTTATGTTCCCGTGTTTAGGACCTGTCTGTTCACCCTCATTTTCTTCACCTCGGCAACGTTTTACGCGCGCGCATATAGAAACCCCCAAACAAGCGCCCAACTTCAAAAGTTTCAGCCTTTCTTCCGACTGGGACAGACTGCTCATATTCGACATTCTGGTAACGAAAACGATATACATTTCGATGGTATAGTGTTGTGCTATCGTTGAGATTCGCAGTGTAATACCGACAATATCTATGTGTTCCAGCGCTAGATTCACGCTGCGATCCGCGCAAATCGGAACATGAGTTTTGCATATTTGCTCTCAGCCGTCAACAGCAAACAGAAATATAATCTTCAATATCAAAATAAGCGGAGGCTGTTTGTGAAGCAGGAACCCACACCTATCATTCTTTCTATGACTAGGAGACGAGGGACCGCATTGCAAATCCAATCGCGTATTAGCAGGTTTATGCTTGTTATATATTTCGTCCAGGTTTATTCACTCTTTGGAAACAGGGAAGAAAAAAGTCAAGATTGCTAAATACAATGTCCGCAATGCGGTCTCACGTCTCCTACTCGTAGAATAGACGGTACATACAACACGCTATAGCAGATATACTTGCAGGGTGGAACTGTTGACTAATTATGTATTTTCATTTACACGAAGGGAAATGCTTTAATCGCATTCAAATTTTAACAAATCGAGGGTTTTCCTAAAGCTTGTTGCGAACTCAAGTGACCATGGTACGGAGTAGAGCAAGTAACACTGCATCAGTTGAGCAAGACAATGTAGTTCTGTGAAACAGAAGAAACGTTACAGAACACAGCAACTGGTAAACAGTATGACGACCAAATAAAAGCAGAAACAAACTAAACGATAAACCAGGAAGAGAACAAAATGTATCACAGAAGTGAATGTACAACAACAAAATTGTGTATGCACGTCGTATACAATCTATATATTCACCGAATGTCCACAAAAGCTCTCGAATCAATACCACTTTAGCAGATATAAAAGTCGATCATCTAACATGCTGTCAAAGCACGGCAAAGGTTAAGGCAAATCAACAAAGACATGGATCTTCTCTTCCCCAGTCACTCGGGAAGACTTTGAAGGAAGGAAGCGGCGACAGCTTGTCGGGGATAGGAAAGTATCTATGATTATACATTTGTAGAACATTATAAGTTTTGCCGCTTCATGTATACAGCAGCTATGGTCAATCCGACCAATCATCGTTTTTCTCATCGGACTCTGGAACGAACACTTTGATATTGTATTTTAAACCATTTGAAAGATGTATTGGTATGTTTTTCAGCGTGCACGCTTTATATTTCAATATAGATAAAGTATGCACGCAAAATGCAATGTAATTCAACTGCTAAAACATAAAAGACCACAAACAATCACTAATTAGATATCTTTTGCTAACCTTCTTCTTCACTTGAGTCGTCAAGAGCCATATTCATTCGACGCTCCTCAAGTGCCCTGGCAAGAGCACCAGCCAGACCGCCTATCTCCGGCAATGTAGATTCTGATCTCCTCTTTTCTTGCTCAGCTGTTGTATCCACCTGAAGTGGGGCTAAGCAAGAAAGTCACTTATACGCAAAACGCTCTTACATGTTTGAGTTGCGCCCCTTGACGGATCTGCGCCATAACATTGTCTCTCGCATCGGCTTTGTTGTTAGGTTTTTCAGCATTTTGAGATCCTACACTGCGCAGCTGTTTGCCAGCTTGGATTTCCTTGAAAGTAGACACATTTATGCAACACTGGTATACTTTCAAATACGTACCGCCAGGAGATTGCCTCTTCCAGAGTCTGGAGTGGCCGCTGGTGGGGGTGGTGGTGGTGGCGGAGCAGGTCCAGATGACAAGCTTATGGCTGAAGAAGAATTGAAGGGCCTCAGAGAAGTAAGTACAAAATTCCATTACCGTTCAATGATGGAGGAGGAGGTGGTGGCGGTGGTGGTGCAGAACTTGAGAAGGCTGGTGGTGGAGGTGGTGGAGGCACAGCTGCTGGGCGACCAAGATCATTATTGGGCACCTGAAGTTTGATTTTTCTTGTTTAAACAGATAACTTGAAAATGAGCAAGTAAATCAATCACGAATTAATACAGATGAAAGATTAACCAGGATTTGAAAGCTATTGTAAGACTAATCAGAATTTGAAAGCTATTGTAAGCTTACAACAGGTTTCCACTTAAGATTGTATCACATATCTATCTGAGCTTTAGTTAAACAATTCCGGAGCACACATCCAGTTTTGGGCTTTCTGAATTCATACAACAGTAAAAAGTGAAATCGATCAAAACGATACGCATGAACATGAACCATTTTCGCCAGCTAGGACAAAATGGTTCAAGTCTGGGAGCGCTTTACACCGATCTAGAGATAGAGCGCCAATGACATTTTTCAATTCCGCAGAAGCGCAATGTGCGCTAAGCTCTTTAAGCAATGCAGAAATTAGGGGCAAAATGTGAAGATTTGAAATGTTAAGATTTGATTGACGTAATCAGGTCAGTGAAGAATAACACAAAGTGAAGCGATCAATCTTGTTTAGAACAGGAAAACTTCCGTACTACGTCAGCACCAAAGTGAACTTTCCGGGAAAACTGAGAAAAATTTTTTTCACGAATGTACTTGATACTCGATTAACTCAACTATGAACACAGATGGCTGCAAAACAAATGCGAATTTCGTATACACAATTTAAAAAAATAAAAAACAGCAAAGAAATCAATTTCATGCTTTCAGGAATCAAGAATACCTGAGGCAACGGCCTGCCAAATGGTCGTGATGAAGTAACAGACGGAGGAGGTGGCGGCGGACGAGCAGGTGGGGTACTTGATTGATGAGAAGCAGTACGATTCGGAGGTGGAGGAGGCACAGGACTACTCCACTGAGGAGTCAGATGGGCAGCTGCCTTGTACGGCTGCGTAGATCTTAAACAGGCAAATAAACGTATATCATAATTTATTGCTATGAAACTTACTGCTCCTCGTCTTTATAGTTTTCTATGAAATCATATACAAATTTGATAGTTTTCTTGTTCATGTTTGTAGGATCCTGACCGGCTGCTCGGATGATGTTCCTGAAAATTCATTGAAGAGCTGAAGAAGTCGAATTGTTCGAAAAATTACTTGATGCTTTCGTCCATAGGTTCCGAGTCACACATATTATTAGAAAATCCATTGTCTTGGTCCCAACCAACGTGTGCTTTGTGTCTAAATAAATCTTTATTTTCAACCTTGTCTCCTCTCATCACCACATCATTTCGCAGTGCGCAGCTTAACGAGGCCATAATCTACTGAGCAAACACACGAAAGCGCAGTGACATTGAAAATCTGCTCGCTAGGAAGAAGGTGAAGTAAATGGGGAAAACGTGTTCCAGATACTTCTCATCCACTCATTAGAACGATTTGAAAAGCCAGCCCAGATCGAGTGATACTTCAGCGAAACACCTGTACAAGCAACACTCACTGAAAGTTTGTAGGATTACTGATGTCCTCTTTTCGGATTCGAGGCCGTTTGCCCTTCTTTTTCTTATCTTTGCGTGAGAAGAAACTAGTCGGTGTTGTGGTCGTGGAGAATTTCTCAGCGTGCACCATTGTTCCAACTGGTGTAACTCCACCAGAGACTGGCACATGAGTCGTCGGAAGCGTATTTCCGATGTTCGAGGACGATAACGCGTATGGAGGATTAGCAGAATGTGCAAGTGGGTTCTTCGCTGCTGCTGAAAAAAAACACATTGGGAGGCATAAAAAGCAAGTGATGAGAAGTAAATGGGCTACACATATGCTCACTATACACTTTCTATACCCGATGAACCTAATTCACCATTTTTAAGTTTTGATTCTTATAAGCAAAACATTTCCTCTCCTCCTTCATCAAATTCCTTTTTATAATGTTCACACACAGCCCAGCAAATCTGACAATTGATGAGTGTTCTTGCGTTGCCGACAACATTTGCGTGTATACATTGGAAAACTTGCGCTCTGTTGCCATTCTTACGCAATTCGCAAGGAATTTGTTGTCACAAGCAATGCAGCTGTTTACGTGCAAATAATGTTGTCACCGCAGAGCACTTATAAACGCTGGGAAGTACGTCTCAAAATTTTTAAAACAAGGAACCTTATGCAAAGCCGGTGCAAAGATCAAAACAATTACATATTCTGCTGCACGAGCGCGGCGATCATACAAACTCGAGAAAACCTAGGGAGCTTTTGATATAGTTTGTTTCTTTATAATGGTTAGCCGGTTCACCCGTACGCGCACACTCGACCCTTTCCGGGCCAGATGCACCCGCACTCAACATGACCAACTCAAAGAAGTCCGAACTCCTTGAAACACAATTTATCAACATGAAACAGAATCTATTTCAAGAATCGAAAGATGCTTGTTTGAATAAACATTAAGATCCCCGTTGCATGATCGCATGTAGTCTCAGGTCCAATCGTGCTCACCATACACTGAGCGACCAAATAATGTTTGTCGATGTCATGCAGCCGTTTGCCCTGCTAGTCCTGCAGTCTTTAGCGGAGGCTCCGGTTTGAATGCAAGCATACGAAAAACTTGATTTCGCTATCTGCTAATGAATAATACCTGCTATGAGGTAATCACCAAAAGAATTAAGTCAAAGAAGTTGAGACAGAGCGAAAACAAAGTCGCCAAGATTTGCGACCTCCAACAACATAAAATCATATTTTTTAACTATCATGACTTATAATAAGCCGCTTATTTGTCGGTCTGTAAGTCTGTCTGTTACGAAAATACAGTGAGGAATGATTTACAATTCTTTGGAGCATGTGAGGTTCTGATAGCGAGTATGGTTCATTTTTAATTAGGACTCTCTCACCGCAGTCAACCTGGCAATAATCTAAAAGAAAGCCTTCACATCGTAAGTTTACCATCGTTTCTTGATGGCCAGTGCGAGCCTCTGTGAAGCAGAGGTGAAGCACTGGTACAGCAAAACCGAACAAAAACCGGACTTTTATCATGCTTATGACATTGATAAAACGATCCCATCCCGATATTGAGCAATGTTTCATAAAATTTTATCGCTATGATGCTTCACTCTACCTACTCCATACTGGGAGAGGACGGCACAAGATTAGAAGGAGGATTAATCATGTGATAATGAGAGGCGATGAGATTTAGGGTAAGATCGGCAGACAAAAAATGCAATATCAATTATGAGCAAGACTACTCGAAAAGATACCCTCTGAAGATGCAAAATTCTCTGATACGTTTCGTAAGCTAAAATAATTCAAAGCATTTAAGCTAAAGCAGTATTGCAACCTGAGCCCCTTGATTTTTCAGCGCACAAATAGCCCAAACAAAGCATAACATCATAGACTGTGTTCTCCATTTCAACTACAATTTTCGCTACGGTCAAATTCGAGCTCGCGTACACCACTTGAACGTAAGTGGCATGACACCAGTGTGTGTAAATGTTGACTTGCAGTTCCTAGTCACTTCACAATAGGTCAGAAGCACAAAAATGCAAAACAAAAACATAATGGACACCTGAGAGCTTTCTTCTCCAACTGAAACGCCAATCAGGCAGTAAGTTCTTCGACGAGCTATAGGAGCTGGAGCTGCATGAATTTCTTTTGGAGCAGGCACTGCTGGATACATTTGTAGAGTCCGTAAAGTCTTCAAAATCGACAGATGGTTGCTGTTTTCTAGGATTAGCATGGGAATGCTGACAGTAACTTGCACTGCGAGAAAGGGAGTTCCTGGAAGTTAACGTGGAGGGAATATTTTCAAAATCAAGGTCTGAATAGTCTCCTTGCGATCCTTGCACAAATGATGCTACATATTCTCCACAAGAAACTAGACTATGTTCAGCAGCAGCACAATCATCAGACAGTTGCGAATCGTCGTCTTGAGATTGATAGTAGTAAACGGATCGCTCCGTTGTTGGCACATTAATGCGAGGAGTTCGATAGGGCGATGACGATGAGATGGTAGAAGACAATAGTGATCCAGGCATAAGTTGCACAGGTTCGTAGAACAACTGATAAGGATTGTAATATTGCGGTTCCGGTGTCACATTATCGTACCGTTCGTACTCGTACTTTTTTGCAGGCAGAGATGACGGGTAATAAGCGGATAGACGAGCTGGATTCGGAAAAGGTGCACAACCTCGCGAGCAAAGTTCGGATCTGGACGGGCGATCGAACCACTTTCGCTGCGAGGACGGCAAATCCCTGTATTCAAAGTGAATGCGACCGAGTGGGTCTTCAGTGACAACCATCCACATAGCAGATGGAAGTAGCGAAGAGCACTTCTTCGCTGGAACTGCCAACGAGAGAGATCACTTGGATGGCGTCAACATGGGACTAGTTACAGGAAAGAATATAGGACGCTTGCTGCGGTGGTTTTAGGCAAAGCAAACCAGCGCCCGCGTCGCAGTGGGCGGGGCATGAACTGTGCGTGCACTTGATTCGGAGCTAGAGAGACTCGACCTGGACGACTGCAGACCGCTAATCTGTGGAATTTGAAGAAAAGTTAAGAATTCATCGATGATGATTCAAACTAGGCAGGGAACGAAGAGGGACAAATTACGGTCCAATCAAGAACTCACAACGACCGTTTTCCTAACATATGCAAAAAAACAAGTACTTTACGGATGAGTTATTCTAACACGATTTACATAAGAAAAACGCTTTCCCGAACGAATTATTGTAGCAGGACACAAGCGCTTTCTAAAGAAATTCTTCGGCAGTGTATATAGGAATAAATACGAAGTGTCATCACATCTACTCCCTTACATTCTCCATCATAAAAATGTGAATTGCCCCAAAAGAAATTACTCCTCACAATAGAAGAAAACTTTCGCAGTATTACATTACGAAAAACCAATATTATTCGACTAGGAAAATGCAAACAACTCTCCATCGCGGAAGTTGCGTAACATGAATATTAGCAAATAATTCTTCGGTTAGATAATTAATGCAAGACACCATTATGGGAATACCTTCACAAAAAAGCAAGCTGACTATCTACGTAGACCAGCCATAGTTTAATCATCCATAGACCAGCATAAAAAAGGCGAAAAAAAAATTCAGAATTAAGCGCAGCATTTTTCTAGCATGAAACTGCTGTCACCACTTACATCAGAGCCAAGAGCCATAAAGTAGAAAAGTAAACGCATTATTTATGAATACTTTTCGTTGTTTTCATCTATCGATTTTTGTAAATTATCTGACTGATTTCCCAAGTGAAGGCAAAACACGCGGATAAATTCATAACTTATGGAGACCAGTTTTAAAATCGCCCAATCTAAGGTGAAAAAATGTACGGATGCACCTATGAAAAACGACGTAAATATCTCGCTCTTGAAAATCTTTCAACCTGTCTAGCTTACCTGCAGAGCTTTCTGCAAAAGAATTAAGGGCGTTTCCGCCCGGCTGCGTTCTCCCTTTTTACCAAGTCTAGGCACTACATACTTTAGACGCCGGTGTATGTAGTGTATGACCAGCAACAGATTGGGTTTGAGTGTTAATGCCGGTGGATGTTTTTGCTTTTATCTCAAAAATATGTATGTTTTATTGCATCAGTCATATACGGAAGTGATGAACAACTTAATCAATCCTAGCTAGGGAGGGTCAAAGTCAAGAGGATTAGTACAATCACTGAAACCTTAAACGCTGATTTGGGACTGTCTTCCCTGTCTACACCCTTCTGGAAAAGTAGTCAAGAGAATACAACGAAAAAAAGGACGTAGGCAGGGATGAAATCAACTGTTACGATTTCTTCGGGGCTTAAATAATTTAATAATGAGTTTACAACACGTGCGGAACAAAACTTTTCACTCCATATATTAGGTCGTTCCCGAAGTTCGTGCCGTTTTTCAGACCCATGCTCAAACCACATAGAATAATGATAGACAAACACTTCAAACAGGGTTCGATACAGAAATTCTTCCCCTTTTCCATGGTAATGATTTTCTTCAGATTCCTTTGACGACCGCTCAGATAACCGCCAGAATCCCCAACCTATGATTTTTACCACCTTGAGTTTGGCTATTTCTTGAAATTTTCATCTTCAACTTTTGGACTAGCTTCAATAACAGTTGGATAGGACAAACAAAATGCAATACAACAAACTATTCTGGCTTCTCAACTAGCTTTCCAGCATTTCTTAGAACAATTTTTCATCAACCTTCACTTTGCGAAGTCGTAAAATACACAACCGCTTCAAATACGAGTTTTCGGAATGAAGCTTCCAAAGGCAGTTTATGACTTAACACTGATTTTAACAAGCGACTGAGCGTTTTAGCGGTTGAAATACTGGATTCCGAATTTTCTGGGTGCAGTCTGGGACGAGTCTGGAAACAAGAATTAGAAAAAAGTTTATCCTCAAATGTTATACAAGTCAGGAAGAAAAGAAGTCCATCAGAAAAAGGAGAAAAAGCCGCATCGAATGGCACCCTGGTTGCTTGCAGTTTATAGTTCTGTGAGGATTGAGAAGCCAGAATATGGAAACTGATAGCACCAGAAAATTTCGTAAGAATTTTGAGAAGGCGGCTAGAGATGCGAATAAAATTGTATTGTATTGCATTTGTTCATTCTATCCAACAGTTATCAAAGCTATTCTAAAAATTGGAACTGGAAAGTTACGAAAATAGCCAAACTCAGCATGGATAAAAATCACGCCATGCAATTTGACGATAATTCAAGCGTACATCAAAGAAATTTGAACAAAAACATGTGTGAGAAGGAGGAAGAATTTTCGCATCAAACTCTGGTTTGAAGTGTTTGTCTATTATTAATGAGTGGTTTGAGCATGGGTTTAAAAAACGGCACGAACTTTCGGACCGACCTAATATTTACGCTACCGCTCCTTCGAGCCCCGTGTTCACTTTTTCGCTATAGAAAACGTTCACAACTATTTTCTGTAAGATTTTGCAGATATGAAAAGCAGCCCGGGAGCCTCCTAAGCTCTCAACCATTCCGCGTATCATGGCGATCGGCCGCTTTGACGCGACTTTTTCTTGTAAAACAAAAAATGTTATTTTTGCTCGTTAGAATCAAGATTTTCGAACAAAAGACATTACAATCTGAGAATATTGACTGCTCACAACTTGTCACACACCGTCCATATATGATTTCCATACGGTTAAACACTGAGTTGGCAAAGGTTCATGTTCAAGTTGGATCCAAAGCATTTTTTCATCCTCTTTATGTTTTCGGCTTTAATGAGAAAGGATTTTCTTCTTCCCTCCAAACGTGATCCGCCTTCCAAAAGTTGCCGATATGGAGGCAGTTATGATGGTAGGCGGCTGGGACCGAAATACTTATAAGATTTACATATTTGCAAAATCGAAGATGAATGAAAAGAAAGAAATGTACTCTCAACAGATTTTGTTGATGGGGATTGCAATTTAACATGCAGTAGAACCAAGATATCTGACAATGGCTGACCATGATTTTGGTTTTGTACTGTGTGTCCCAGCAAGCACGCAAATGCAAATGTTTTCATGCTCCTTACTCTGATTTCTCAATTGCATTCAAGTGTAAGGCCCCGGACAGACTTCACGCGATTTGATCGTCGCGACTAAATCGCGACGAGACAACTGTTACAACATCATTACAGCCGATCAACTTGCATTTCGGTTGTGATACTTTTCCAGCCCGAAATTTTTGAATGTGAAATGAAAATGAATGGAAATCTCGGCGACTGAATCGCGACGATCAAATCGCGTGAAGTCTGTCCGGGGCCTAAGACCGCAGCCACCTAAGCGAATGTACTATAACTAATACGCAAGATTTTTCATCGATTTTTTGAGTGCAATTAGCGACATTTTTGCGTTAAAAAAAGCAGGACTCAGTGGGTTACAAACTCTATACCATAAGGTCAGCTTTCAAAAACTCATTTTAAGGATGTACGTAAACCATAACCCCATGAACCAAGAACCTTTTCAAGAGGGCAAGTCCGTACAGTAAGGAATGATTGACAGAACTTTTGAGTTCCGTTTGACCAAAACGCGAAAACGTCTGAAAGCTACCAACCAAGTCTGTAACTAATGAGATACTGACACTCACTGATTCATCAACCGACCTTGAAAGGGTACAGCTACCACATACGGCGACGGAGGAGGGTGAAATTTAGACAAAATTCATAAATCCTTTCAAGAACATACTGCAAAGGAGAACCAATTTTGGATCAGCGCTTCAAGGACAAAGCAACTGTCTATGACCGCTTCGACCGAATTATTTTAAAATGAGGGAAAACGTTTCTTGTTTCGTAATTGCAGATAAGCTGGAGTTTGAAGCGACACATGTCAAATTGTTGAAAAAACTCGAAACAACATACTGCATTTCCAGCTTCGCCTGTGCCAAGGTAAGGAATATCTGACGCGCATACAGTTATGATACGAATAAGCACCATTCATATCACAAGCGAATACAACAATCAAGACTTGTTAGCAGTTTTTTTTTTGTTTTTTTTTTTGCATCGATAGAACCGGTTATGTACTTCATTGTAGGCGGCATGGCCACGAAACATCCACATCCTTTTCGCACTTGAACAGATTGACAAGCAGTAACGTAAAGATGGTATCGTACTATGCAAAAGAATAGTTGCGAACCAGGATATAGACTGTTGTCCTACAGTCTGCATCTTTTGCATGAAAAAAAAAAAAGATTTGACCTAAAGAAAATTTCATTAACGACCTGTAGCTCTGCTGTTCAGAAAAAAAAAATGCCGTGAAAAGTTTTGACAAGTCAACGGCAAATGCGCATCTATGATCAGATTTTACTTGCAGGGATTATTCATTAAACATGGCCTTGAGCAAAACCGATGTTCTTTTGGCTCTTTACAACGCGGCTAAGGGCCGCATGCACTAACATCCCCGCGGGGAGGGGATCGCAGCTTAAAAGAAAGCTTTATATTTTGAAACTCCAGATACCTGGATTTCACGTTGTGTACCTATCTGTAAGTATTCCTACTACCCTTCACTATGAACACATTGAACAGGAGTGAGAAGCTGTACGAACCGCATTTTCCAGCTTTTGTATGATCCCTGACGATCCCCGGCGCTTTTCTTTGAAGTCATTTTTCTTTCTCCAAAGTTAACGAAAAGTTTCCAAAGTTGTGCATATTATCTAACCCAACACTGCTTAGCATGTTGCTGATAAGAACAAGTGATGTATCGGATTCATGAAAATTGCGATGAACCACAGGTCGAAATTTGAGGTTCACCGAAAAATTCGACTTTTCAAAAACTCATTTGCTCTTATCAGCAACATGCTTAGCACTGTTGTGTTAAATGTTCAGTACAGCTTTGGAAAGTTTTCGTTAACTTCGAAGAAAGAAAAATGACTTTAAAGAAAAGCGCCGGGGATCATCAGGGATCATACAAAAGCTGGAAAATGCGGTTCGTACAGCCTTCAACATGTTCATAGTGAAGGGTAGTAGGATAGGTACACAACGTGAAGCAGGTATCTGGAGTTTCGAAATATAAAGCTTTCTTTTAACACGTTGACGACGAGCCATTTTTTGAAGGTCTGTCCCTGTGGACGAACCGTTTCCGGGCATTTTCACAGCCGGCTGCATATATGTATGCATGCATCTATGCGCGAGATACAAAAATGCAAGTGGGCGGGGAAGCTCCGCCCACTTTTGGCAAGCCCCGCCCACTTTTCAAAAATGCTGGAAATCGCTCAAAATCAATGAATTTGTGCAAATTCCGGCATTTTTGAAAAGTGGGCGGAGCTTGCCAATCAGGGGGTGGAGTTTGCCTGACGGTGGGCGGGGCCCGTATAAAAGTTACTTGAGGTGTTTGCATTCATCTACGGCCTCATCCATGCCTTTTGTGAACAAAAAGGGCCTCTGTGAGGGGTATAGAAGTGGGCGGAGTTTGCCAAAAAGGGGCGGGGCTAATACATGAGATACATCTGAGCCTATGTTGGTTATATGAACAAAAACTGAGAGGATTGGACAGATAGTATTGAAATTAAGGCCGCCGCGCACCATTGCGCGGCGTCGTCCACAGGGACAGACTGCCTGCCGCGCACCATTGCGCGGCACTGTCGTCAACGTGTTAAGCTGCGATCCCCTCCCCCGAGGGGAGGTTAGTGCATGCGGCCCTTAGGGCCGCATGCACTAACATCCCTGCGGCGAGGGGAGCGGCGTCCCCAATGATGAAAAAGCCGCAGCGGCGTCCGCACGCGGCCCCTTCATCATTGGGGACGCCGCTCCCCTCGCCGCAAAAATGTTAGTGCATACGGGCCTTAAAGTTGCGCATCAAGCACTGGGATTATGAAATCAAAATAAGATTGGTTAGTACCGTCTGCATACGAAGTAGTAAAAAATGCGAGTTTTTGAAGGGAGACTCGTGCTTATGTTGAGCCAAATAAAGAGACAAAAAGATTACGACAAGAGTGCCGAGGCAACTGCAGGATCTTCCACAAAAAATAAAGCGGATTTTGAAGGAGTGAAGGTGTAGAGACTGGCTGCACATGAATCCCTCTGGAAATGGAGATGTAGCGGAAAAATCAGAGAAGTTCCCCATCCTTAAACGTTGCGCCAAAAACACGATCATAATCCCTGTCCCCTGTCAGACCATATTGCACAATTCATTTTGTTGTAAAGCAATACCAAAAAAAGAAAGCTTGTTCACTACTCCCTATCGAAAAACTTAAATCTTTCAAAAGTAGGGCCTCATCAATTTGCTATGCAAAGAGCGACACACTGCTAATTTCACCGGTTAAGCAAATCTACAAATTACTAGATGAAGAATGGCTTTGTAAAAGGAAATGCGACTAGCAGAAGTAAGTGATGGTTTAACTCGCAGTGAGACTTACTGGTAAGAACTTTTGGGGAAGATGCCTATTCTTAAATAAATGATATTTCTCATCCTCAAATGTCACCTCATGGCAGCTGCGATAAGTCTGTTCTAGCAGCAAACTTGTTCAGAAATACTTGCTAGAATCGATGAATGTAAGACTTGCAGTTCGAAACCAATGTAACAAGCGGTCACATCAGGCACTTGAGAAAAGGCGAAGAGGCGATAAACGTCATGCAAAAAGAGTTCGTAACCATACATGATTTGCCTTCCTGTTCGTGGCGTTTATCCAAGTGGCCCTTGAAATCGCGTGCTTCTTCTACGCTGGAAAAATTCAGGCCATAAACGTTTCGTCGTGACTCGTCCTCAAACGTCAGCAAAAAGGGACAATTTCCGTAACTGACCGCTTGGAAACCTCGGTATCTGAAATGGGAGCTCGTAACGTGAACAATTAGAACTTTTCGTGGAAGTACTCAAAATAACTTTCTCTCTTATCTTGCCTTGAAAGACAAATATCAGGTCTCTAACACTATATGAGCTGAAAAGCTCCCAGTGATCTGAAAATGAATCGCGGTTGAATATGGCTGCAAGCAATGCACAATCCGTTCCGATTTGGGATTTTCGAGTTTTGCGGTGGATGCACTAGCTTATATAAAAGTGTTAGGAATACAAAGTCAGAAATCTGCAGAAACAGTGCCCGATGCAGAAGTATGATGCAAAAGGTCAACGCGCCAAGTAACACGATCGCGAAACTTTTTCTCTATTAATGTGAAACTCCTCGACGTCTTGGAGTAAACAACCATAAAAAATAGTGCGCTAGATTGATTCGCAGAAATTACGCATACACAATACAAATGAAAGTTGATTCAAGCATTCCCTCAGCACTTTACGTGAATTAGGACAAAGGACAGCTTGCAAGAACCATTACTGTCTTGAGAGAGATGCAAAATAGACCAATGCCTTGCCTACTTGAGCCATTCTAACAGTTTCTCAAGGGTATCCACATCGAGATCAGGTAGCTTATACACAAGAAGTTGATCTATCAAAAATATTCTACTGCATCATGGTAAATGAGAAAAAAAACAGATGATATTTTGCGAGATGCCACACCACAACTCATGAGCGCAGGTTCCTTTGAATGACATTTCATGGCGCTGAAGATCTTCTAGCTTCTATCAAACCGCACAATTAGTTTGGCGGAAATGTAAGGCAATAAGAACGGCTTTGGAAGGTACGAAAATTAGTCACAATTGCCGACACTGTTTCAAAAAAAGTTCTTCTTATTTTTTTAAGGAAGAGCATACCGTCCAAAAACAGGAAAGGAACATTTATTTAGAGATCTAGCTTCAACTGATTGTGATACACTTATACCCATGGAGTAATGTCAGCGGAAAAGAGCAAAATCAATCGTGAAACTAAAGCGCGCATAATTTGCATTTATAGACTGTACACGATTATGCGAACGAAAACGCCTAACACACTAAGTCTGTCGCGTGACATATTTACAAAAATACATAGCGGGAGCGAAAATTCAGTCAGAGAAGAAGTAAATCGCAAAAGTCCTCTTGTCAACTGGAAGAAGGCACAAAAGGAGCCAAACTCCAGCACATGAACTAATATGAACAAAGTTCAAGAAGTTTCAAAGTAATGAACTGAACATCAGAACTGATGCGTGCTTGACTGGGCGAAGCGCCATACCACTGCCACAACCCTCAGTAAAATTCACTTCTTTGCAAGTGTAAGTTATTTCATAAAGTACATGGAGCATTGAGAGTAAGAGAACTGGCATGGGCTCCATCATACATACCTCTACCAAACCCATGTTTTTTCAGACACTGCCAAAACACAGACGTCCATTCACATGAAGAAATCATTACCAGTTTATCCGAAGATTGGTCTTATGTCTATGAGCCCGGTATACTTCACGAGACCGCGGTACAATTTGGCAGTAATAAAAATGTTTTCATTACTTATCGTGAGCGCTTCTGAATGTACAGAAAACATGGCATTTTACAAATCTACCAAAGTTTTAATGCTACGCAGCAGTTGGCCAGTGCTAGATTCGAAAACATCAGGATATGGCCAGATAGTATGGAGGCTACCGCGTGAAGTATGCCCGGGGCCTATAAATTCACATAAACAAACTGCTAAATGCGAGCATAACTAAGAAAAGTTGTAGAATAGTGTCACTAATCAGACGATTCAGATTCGGAAATCTTCACAATTTCGTACATTTGATCTTGCTGAACTCCAATAAGAACGGGAGAGATTTCGATCATATCGATTTCAATAGTATGAGGCTTCGCATGATCGCGATGGTCGGTAAGTTTGCAGTTTTGATTATTTGCCCTACCGTATGCTCTTGAAAGCAAAATTTCGAACAGTTCACAGGCAAAAGTCAGGAACCGTATAGGGTGTGCAAACGGAAAATTTTGACTCGGATTCTAAACCTCCTGTTAAAATCATACCAAGGGTATACTCCGAGATTAATTTTCAACTTCAAAGCGACACAAACTAAAGCAAGATTGTTTATTTTGAGAGCGTAGAGCTTGCCCTAGAGAGAAAAGGAACTTTATAAAAGCGATCGGTTGTGCAGTGGTGAAATTCTGATTAGCAAAGATATGTATCAAATAGTGATGAGCCTCTCCACTTTGGTTCTTTGCTTTCTGCCTTTGGTAAAAACACCTTGCAGGACGTACTAGCAAGAGAATAGCTCGTGGAGTCAAATGGTGAGATCGTATGCAAGAACAATCGTGGTTGCTGCAGTTGCCAGACTTATTTGGCTCAAAGGTCCTGGTTCATCCGTTCGCTGTCAATTCTGTAATTTGACCAATAGCGAAGGAGCGATCCGTAAGCACCGATTGAACCGGATAAGTCTGGCGCCTACCTCATGTTAAAATTTGAACTCAAACCTGCGGCGGTCGAAAGTTAGGGTGAAATCATCGCTTTCTCTTAGTAATTTCAAAGAGAAAAACCAAGGTGTCTTGAAAGTACTTATCAATAATACAAATTGCCAAACAGTAGTACAATAAAAAGTTGACCCAAAGATGGCGCTCCTCGAAGCCACTTCTCGCGAGATACAATGAAGGTCATTTTGTTGGTGGCTAGTCGGTCAGTAAAGAACTCGGTTTTTTGCAGAACGTAGAAAGGGGCATGCTTTGGGGGCGAATCTTGCATTTTTTTTTTGCCCATGCTTGAAAACAGTGATTGCTTTGAACTAATCATTATATATTTCAACTACCTAATTCTGCGAAGCTATATGCGAACCACCTCATTCTTCATATAGCTTCCTATTCAGAAAACAGTTCTACGGTCTGTCTCAATCCCATCAAAGGCAGCGTCTCGGCAGAATTTCGTTTTCCAGATTTTCACCTTTTCGGGGCCTTCTCGTCATGAGAAACCCATATCTGGACTTTTCAGCGCATGAAAATGGCGAAAATAAGCTTTTTTCAAGCTTTCCAGATCCGAATTCAGTGAAGATACGCCCGAAAAGCCGCGTTCCGCCTTCCCCGTTCCACGCCCCGCCCACTTCTCCACTGAATGCGGACTTAGAACTTCTGGAAAAGTTCATTTTCGCCATTTTCATGCGCTGAAAAGCCCAGATATGGGTTTCTCATGGCGAGAAAGCCCCGAAAACGTGAAATCTGGAGAACAAAATTCTGCCGAGCCGCTGCCTTTAAGGCCAAATTTGGCATGGCGATCGTCCGTGTCGCCAGGGTTTTGCGTCTCCACGGATAGCTTGCCTGCTCTCTCTCTCTCCTTAGCCTCTTCGCTCTTTCCAACAGCACGCGTATACAGCGCAAATCCTTAGCCTGTAGCGCCCAAATTTAGCCAGCGGCCTGCCTGATGCTGACTGAGAAGGCTGTACCCTCGGAAGAGTGCGAAAAGTACTTTGCAGGCAAAGTTTCCAACATAAAAGTTCAATGCGATAGAAATAGCAGCTTGATTACGCATGTCCTCCGCTGGTATGCAATCCTACCGTGAAAAAAATACAAGCCGTAAGCCAAGTAATGTGTGGCCAACACTTGCATGTCGCCACAACAGACAATTTTTCCCCAAAGGCTTGACGTAAAAAGGTTTAAATTCACGTTCGGGTACCTAGCAGCATCTGGAAAAAAAATTTCATTGCCAAATTGCGACAACAGATTGCTCTAGCGAACCATCTTGCAGTTAACGTATAGTTTATAAATATTTCTAGCATTTAAAAAGACGGAACATTGTAGATGCGGAACCCCACTTTGTCCGCAAATGAAAACCCAACTGCAGAAAAAACAAAAACTCAAAAGACGCCGTCTTTCACCTAAACTCAAAGATATCATCCGCACAGAAGTACAGCGGTACCACTCACATTGAGAGGGAGCAAAAAGATACTAGTTGATCATAAGGTTTATACAAAACCACTTACAATCTGAAATCCCACAGCTTCCGCCCACTCAAAATATCATATAATCGGAGGAAGTAGGCTCGATTTTGATAATCCTGGAATAAAGTTTGATTTGTATCGAAAAACCGAGAGCGAGTCTACCTTCACTAATGAGATAACGCCTCGAAACATGAGTTTCCATTGTCTATTTTCAACGAAAAGAAGTTCGACCACTGCGGCTGTCAGCGAGATATTGTCGGGTCCAATTATAGAGAACAGCATCTCATTTTCTTGCCTCTCCAATAATTTCGACCCAGCGTTCGGGGGTCGCCTCTTCTTCCGATCGCCTCCTAAACATCATTTAGAATACAAACACCACTAAAGACAGCAATCAAAAACGTGTTTGCTCCTTAAGCGCAACATTTTCACATGTAACACTGCAAGGAAAACGAGAAACAAGATGCATTTGATTTCACTGAAATCGCCATCTACTACGCAAAAGGTAGTACTGCACTCATCATTTTTGCAAAAGTGAAAGGATGGTTTTTATACAATGTATTTAAACTGTGAAACGCTCTTTCACTAAAACCAGCAGTGATGAAAAAGTTATCGCGCCTGAAACCACCGGCGACTCGCAAACAGGAAAAAATCTGAAACTGTTTCCTACTTATTCATGACATGGTGAACAATTCGAGATAACGACATCGTTGTGTTATCATCGGAATATATCAAAGAACACGCATCAACTATAAACAACTCGACATAAATTTCAAATGAAACCGACATCGCCATTTCAATTTGTTGAGCATCTTCGAGGTCAAATTATGAAAATTTCCGCAACAGTCAAATCCGCTGATCCCCATAATTTCTTGCCGCCATGACGCTATTTTGCAATTTTTGCGATCGATGGCATTTGTAATGAGTATACCAACGTCTTACTTAGCAAGCCCTATAGGCGACAGTACAAAAACATGAGATGAATTGAATCTCGACCAAGTTCTTTGAAAAACGAAAGATGGTGCAAAAGATTTACCTGTATAACTGAGAGGCGGATTCACCGGCACAGTCGACTGATAACATGTCGACATCTCAACCGTTCAAACTGAAAATGATTTTAACGAAAAGTATAGAGAAGATATAAGAAGAAGCAGATGAAAGATGGTAAAGATAGCTGCGAAGGTTCTTTTCAAAAACTGCGGTCTTATAGAACACAGCCAAATTTTGAAAGCACAATCGTTGCGAAATTATCTTGAGTATCGTGAATCTAGAGCAATGGACTAGACAGTGCACTTTGAGGGAGAGTAAGGTAGAGACTGAGTTCTGAGAGTTTACACTGTGAGGGAAATATGCAAACTTCTGAGTAAAGCAAATGGTCAAAAAGAAAGGCAGGAGAAACTGCTCGAAAGAGAAGAGCAATGATAGGTTCTGACAGACTGCACAAGGTCAGAAAAATGGTTGACATACAAATGGTGAAACTACGTGCAAATCCGCTCATATATGCTCAGCGTTTGCGATAATTTTGCACAAAATGCACTTACTACTTTCAACACCACATCCAGACTAAATTGTCCCACCCCACTCGATTATGCGTTACCAGAGTGTGAATAAATGTGATGTTTTGGTGAACACGACACAGCTGTGGAAAGGGGGCTCAAAATCAAAGCGACTTTGCTTCACCAAAGAAGAAGAACATCCTGGACCAATTTTTGGTTCTTAAATAAACCGCTCGTTGTTTCTTTTCGAATTCAACGCTAACAGAACTCCTAATGTCAACTTGATTCTCCTAACGATTGGAGGAACAGGATAATCTGCACCGATTTCAATATTTACACAGCCCAGGCTGACCGTTAGCAAGTGTATACGAGCGTTCGACAAGGTTCTATTAGCTCAGCCCACAAAATTTTGTAGCGGTAGTAAATTGCTGAATGCTGCAAACGATTGATAACTATGAGCGCTCCCAAAGCTTGGATAGCGTCCCGCTGAAATTTCCCTTCCCGGTTTTTCAACTATTCAAAGCCTTCTTGCCTTGAGAAACGCAAATCTGGGCTTTCCAGCGCATGAAAATGGCGAAAATGAGCTGTTTTCGAAGCTTTCCAGTCTGCATTCGGTGAAATTACGCCGGAGGTCTTCCGCACCCCGCCCTCCCTCATTTTGGGTCCCGCCCACACACAGGTATTTTCCACTGAATGCGGACCTGAAAAACGTCGAAAAGAGCTTATTTTCCCCATTCTCACCGCCGAAAAGCCCAAATATGGATTTCACATGGCGAGATGGCACCGAAAAGGTGAAAAAGTGGAAAACGAAATTTTGCCAAGACACTGCCTTTAACGGAGTCCTATCAATTTTTGAGTATACTTGGATAAAATCCGCACCCATCCAAGATCCTATGCAACATTCGTGAATTGTGAAAATGGCGGTCTTGCAGTTGCTTTTTCTTGATTATTGTGCTTGTTACTCTCATTCTCATCCTTGAAGTGATTAGACTAAGCACTACATTAATACCATTGATAGAGCTGATTATGCATGACCTTGTGACGTAAGGGTATGTGTGCAAAACTAGCAATCAAACTCCTTGCCAGGATTGATGAGGACTTCTTACCTTCATTAGCAAACAACTTAGTTTCTTGACTCCAAAGATATAAGAATTTGGCCCTATGACATACCCAAAACTTAACTATCTGCATAAGGAGAAATAGGATTTATGATTGAAATATATGACACATGATATCATTACAGAAATGAAGCAGGAAGCAACCATTTGGAAAAAATCAAGCTGGAATAAGTATCTAGGAAGCAGACTTCTTTTTTTTTTAGTGTTGCTGAAAGCGGAGCAAAAGATACGTTAACACCCTCCAAAAAGTGACAAACTGGAAGGAAAAAGGCGCATTTTATTTTGCTGACGATCTATGAGAAACGTAAGATATGATAGCACAATAGGATATGACTAAGAAATAATGCTCTTTTTGTGGATGCTGCCATTCCAGGAAAATGAGAAATTTAGCAAGTGACTAGGAGGCTTTCGAAGCCTTAGTGATAAGAATAATACATTAGATAAAACTCTTATGACAGAAAAACTAAATTGATGATAAATTTTGCGAGGATTTTACCGAGCCCAGGACTTGGAGACAGCGACGCGAAAAAAATCGAGCAGACACTTGCTTCATTTTCAGTATTCTTTCAACGAGACACATCGAAAAATCATTGAAACCAAATGCTCGGATACAAAAAATTTAGATTGTAGAGTACAGATGAAGTGCTGGAAGGAGGTTCATTCAGCCATTTCTTATAACAAAATATTTAGATACGCAGTCATAACAAACGGAATAAGATTATGGCAGTCGAAGGATGATTCGAGCATGACACAGCAGATGACTAAAGCAAGAAAATCAATGAATGAATTGTAAATGGCAGGTGAATACCAGAATCAACAAAAGTATCATGAAGCTGGCTGTCCAAGGCTAAATGGTGTACATAACTTTTGCTCACAGACACTATTCACCCATTTGACATCGAGAAGGAAAGGTTATAAGGACGCAAAAGTTTGAAAAAGCAAGGCTGGTACGATGACATCCATAAACGCTAATGAGTCATAATCTGAATGTAATCGATATGCAGTAAGTGCTATAAGTGGCCTTGTTTTGATCCTTTTCAGGTTTCTATCAGGAAGAGAGATCAGGGATAACCAAAGTCATTTGGACATGAGAAGAGATAATTTCTGACCTATAGGAGGACCAGATCAAATCAAAGTAAAAAGGACCTGCAAAAATGGAAGGAGACGAGTGAGCTGAAAGGCAATGACTACTTGACACACGCTGGAAAAGGAAAAATCTTAGACTCGAAGCTTTCAAACACCCTCAACGAAGACCTAATCGAGAAACACGAACGGGTGTCCTAAAAACGATGATCACTCAGCAACCCAAGAACTAAAACAGAATCGATTTAATCCATGTGCAGCGCCACGCGATTTCATGGGCGGAGAATGCAGAAAATGTGCAGTAGTATTGCGCTAAAACGCAGGCTGAAAATTTTGTTGCGTGTACGTCAGCTGATGACAAAATGTTCGAGCATTCCATCTCTTAACTATGCTTTTCACGTTGGTCGTCGTTTTTCTGAGCCACGTTGAGATTTAGCGCACTGCTATAGGCTTTCACCGTTGCAATATACATCAAACGCTCGTAAAAGATATGCTTTTTGACTATTCTCTTCAAATGATTTGGTCAAAGAACTTTTTTTCCTTCCTTTCCTCTGTATGTTGCGAGAAACCATTATCCGTCGGAATCCGGCGCTGACCCTAGCTACAGTATATAGCTTACGCGACCATAAAAGGCGACCCAGCTGCCTCTTATCTTTCCTTTGGCTATGAATCTTACTTATTACATATAAATCTTACTTACCACATCATCAGTTCATCCTGAAACTATCATTTGTCTCGTTTACTCTCTGATCTTGCCACACTAAAAATTCTCCTCATTGGATACTCTTTCAATATACCATAACGTGCAAATTCTAAGGAACTGATGTTTCTCTAGGATATCTAATGGAATTTATTATTATCGAGAAACCCCAATAACTTTTCGCCAGAATGTAAAAGGGTTTTATTTATTGAAGTTAGAAGAACCTCTGCTTCCCAAAACGTGTACGTTGTTCAGGGAGATGAAGTCATCCTTATCGATGACAGCCTTGTTTTGAAATCTCTAACAACAAAGGTTTCGTAATTGATACTTCTACGTCATCCAAACATCAGTTGTTAGCAGACTCATGTCCCTATTCATTACTTGAATACGGATAGCGAAATGATTAGTTATATATACGACCTAGAGGATAAACAACACATCATATCAAATGCGGGACTCTTTATGATCTGATAAGTAAGATTAATGAAAAAGTAAGAGGCAGTCGGGTCGCATTTTATGGTCGCGTTAGCTATATACTGTAGCTAAGGTCAGCGCCGGATTCCGACGGATAATGGTTTGTTATGTTGCGAAAGAATATTCTGAAAAACATCGGGAGGTGGATTATTCCAAACAAAAATGATGGACTGCATATTTCAGACTTGTATTCTCTTCTTCCGCAATGTCAAAGAAGTTCGACAAGCTTCTGGGTACGTCTTTAGCAACGCTCTTGACTTTGATTCTTAAGCCTTTTTTTATGTAGAAGCGGCTACCGACAGCACGAATTTGGAACCCAATTGGGATGGCATCATAGCATGCTTTGACTCAATACGGTCCGGTGAAGTGCCGTGAGTTTAACTCATCATGAGTATAGTTTTGAGTCGTGTAATGTTATATTATTTATGCTTTGAATCGTTAGTAAATATGAATAGCACTCATTTTGCGCTGACATTATTTAAAACAATTATTTCAGTGCTAAGGCTGCTATGCAATCTATACGGAAAAGAATTCAGCACGACAATCCTCATGTGGCAATGCATGCCCTCCTTGTGCTCGATGCATGCGTGAAGAATTGTGGTCACAAGGTCCTTTCAGTTAGAAAGTTATAATGCAAATTTTATAAGGTCCTCTTTAGATTCACGCTGAGGTCGCTACCAGGGAGTTCATGGAGGAGTTCAAAAATCTCGGAATAGGAAGCCAATATGAGGATGTAAGTTCTTCTTTTGTGACACGCGTTCTCCTGCCTTGAACAGTGCCTGCTGAGTAATGCTTTACAATATCCGACGCGTGAGTAATTTTGTTATCAAACTGTGCCACTATCGCCGATAGACATTTTTTTGTCCTTTGCCATTTCCTGTAATCAGTGAGTTTTGGTTAGCCGCATTGTTTAGGTAAAGACCAAGGTGCTAGAGATGCTGCAGTGCTGGGCGATGGCATTTGCTAACAAGCCAGAATACAAAATAGTGGTCGATACACACAATCTCATGAAATTGGCTGGCTTCGACTTCCCTTCCATCAAGGAAGCTGATGCGATGTTCAGTGCGCAAGTAGCTCCTGATTGGCACGATGGAAACGAGTGTTTCCGGTACTGCCTTCGCGCTGAACATGAATCGCTTATGTACTAAAACATTGTTCAGATGTCGCTCTGAATTCTCGTTGTTTAATCGAAAACACCACTGTCGTGCATGTGGACAAATCTTTTGCGATCGATGTAGCACTAAGGAACTCCCTTTGCCGCAATTTGGTATTGAAAAAGAGGTGAGAGAATCCTCTAGCAACGGTTGAGCTGAATATCACATGCTTATTCAGGTTCGCGTTTGCGATGCATGTTATGAGAAAGCCACTTCAAAAACTAACGAAGGAAAAATTGTCAAGGTTTGTTTGGTTATTCGATCAGTAACGATCATATTTTCGATACACTTTGCGTAATCTGCAGAATGAACCTGTCGCGACTACCTCCGCCAATACAGACATATCTCAAGCAGAAAAGGAGAAGCTTCTAAAGGAGAAGGAAGAGGAGGACTTGGCATTAGCTTTGGCTATAAGTCAGAGTGAGGCAGAAGCTAAGGTGATTTTTACTCTGCCCTGTGCACATGCGAAGTTACTCTTTCTCTCTTAACTTGTGCCTTCAAATATGCAGTCAGCAACAATGTCTGCAGTCACCGCACATGTTCAGGAACAAGAGCGGCAAAAGTCTCTCTATGCAATGTATAATGGTGATGCTTCTGGCACTTCTGCCATAAATGTAACTTTTTCAAGCACTTTTTGTTTTGTTTTTTCAAAAAAGACTTTGAAGGATGCCGCCTCGCTTTCATCCTATAATCCATCGGAAATGGGATACAAAGGAGCTGCTCCCAGCGTAGCTGAGTCTCCTTCGGACACTCTGGCCGCGGACGATCCACTTGCTAGGTAATTTTGTGCAACAATGGTTTGAGGAACATAATGCTCGAAAGCAATGTTTTTTAGGTACCTGAATCGCGATTACTGGCAACAAAGAAAAGCCGGCGCTGCTACGAAGGTATGCACATTCTAATTTGACTGTATCAGCTAAGCACCTTGTTATTCTTTTTTACAACTTTTGTTTTTCTGATTGCTTTATTGTTTCCCTCACACTTTTTTCTCAATTAATTTGCTTTTAGATATTCTTAAATTATAAGCATTATGAGCGTGCAACTTGAGTAATTGTTTTTTGAAACATTTAAGGTGGAGGAGTGGGCTGGGGCGTCCGCTTCCGCTCCCCTTCCGAGCGAGCCATCGATAACACCCATAAACAATGGAGTTGCGTCGGTTCAAGCTGAACTCAATCAAATGTCGCTGAGCAAAACGCCACCTGTAAATGACGATTTGAAAGCACAGACAGAGGGAACGATGAAATGGTGTCAGCAGTTGAAAGAACAGGTATTGTTTACTTTCTTTTCATGTCGCCAATAACTTTGTAGATGTTTTCCTAGGTGACAGTAATGGAAAACCGTATTCGATCGAATAATGCGAGGGGCCGTTCGGTGCTGAACGACACTGCAATCCAGGGGCTCTTTTCTACTTTGACGGAGTTCCATTCCCAAGTGTTAGGAGCCCTAACGAAATTAGAAGAGGAGAGAAGTGGGATTTCGGTGCTAATCGAAGCGGATCTATTTATACAAGGCATTTACAGCGTATTACGAGTCACTGCAAGATCATTTGGGTCATATTGGTGAGGCTCGTCTAGCCATTGATGAGCTTCGCGCTGAGCATGAGAGAAGGCGTCAGGAGCGTCTTGCTGAGGAACAGAGGATGCGGCAAGCGCAAATGAAGCAGACATTGGAAATGATGCGCATGAAGAAACATGTTGGTTATCTAAACCAGTCTCCTTTATTTATCACATGCACTCCTTTAGGCTATGCTTATGGAACAGCGAAACATGGCTCTGCAGCGTTTTCAACACCAGGATATGCAGTCACGAAATCGGAATCAGGTGCGCTATCTTCTCTTCCTTCTTGTTGACCTTTTAACTAAACTCAATAAAATTCGTAGATGCAACAACCAGCTCCAACTGGATATTATCCGGGTTATCCTCAGCAACCTGTCCCACCACAAGGCTATCGTAAGTATAACAGTTATTTTCTACAGACTCTATATGACCTTTCGTTCCAGCTGGTTATGTAATGCCCGGTTATCAAGGATATCCGCAACAGCAGTATCCAGCACCTGTATCTGCATATCAGCAGCAGTACCCTCCAAATGCTGGTATACCTGCGCCAGCACCGAGTCAGTGGCAGGACGCTGCTGTACCCCCTCAACAAGGCTCGTCAACACTACTGTTGTCGTGCGTTCTGCTGATTTTGTTGATTTACAGCTCAGTACTCAAATCCTATTGCTCAACCAGCTCCTCCGAACAATGGTACAGCGCAGTCATCTGCACATATTCCGCAGCAGCCTCAGGGTTACTACGCTCCTGTACAGCAAACGCAGATGGCTCCTTATCCGCAGGTAGGCCTTACGTGAAGCGGTAGTGGTTTACATGTCTTGCTAATGACCCGGATATATGTGCTTGTCATCTAAGAACATGGTCACATCTAAATTGCTTCATGCCTCTTTCTTTTTGCTTCTGCAACAAGCGATATGTGTCGTATTTGTTGTTTATTTGCTTTATAATCATGAATGTCAAGCTATTTCCTCTAAAGCAGCAGCCTGCTATGCCTCCTCCTCAGAATGGAACACCAATGGTTATGGGAAGTGGTCACGAACAGTATGCCTCTGCACAGCCGTCCTATCAGCCGAACAATATAAATGTTCAGAACACTGTGAACGGTACGTGGCTCGCAGATGTTTGTTACTATCGAGAATACCTAAGATTTCAGGTACTGAAGCACCTGCTGCTCAGCAACATGAGGCAGTCGAACAACCATTAATCTCTTTTGATTAACGTATTTTTTCACTTAGATATCTATATTTTCGATGTTTTACGGTTTGATTGGCCATTTTTACATCACGAATCCTTTTATTGCCGATGATACCAAAACGTTATAATCTATGAACTTCTACTTAATGTCTACCTAGAATTTAAAAATGTAAGATGGAATTTTTATTTGAAATAATTGGAGGCCAAGCAACACCGTAGTTGAACCATTTCCATCCATCAAGCAGACATCTTGATGGTATTTCTGATGTATTTCACCTTATGCAATGTGATTTGTGGGGATTTCCTTGTTCACCCGGTGGTGGTGAGGTTTATTTTCGACTCATATGAGACAGTCATAACACTTTTATTTTCAAATTGGTGCGTACTAATACAAACATGATGAGAAGCCTATTGTTTCAGAATTTACGCTTGCTTTTCATTCTATAGAATCAATAAACTAATTATCATCTTGTTTCGATTGATTTTGGTTTTCTATGCTTTCAAGCTGCGAATTTTTTGACTTGCATAATTCCGTTACATTCCTTTCCATTTGTAGATGGGTAGCAGTTCTTCCACTCCGGTCCTGTCGACGGAATCGCAGGAAGTAAAAGCTGAGGTATAAGAATTTTTACCAGACAGAATCAATTAGACAAGCTGGGAGTTAATCATTTTTTTGAAACTTAGGTTGCTAAACATCCAGTTGTGGTATATACAAAGAATTACTGCCCTTATTGTACCAAGGCGAAAAATGAATTGAAGCAGGATGGTGTGACATATGTAGAAAAGGTAAGATTCAGAGAGGGAATGTGTTTTTTTTGCTGCAGTTTACCTCATCTTATTTTTTCAACTGATTGTAGGATCTTAGCGATGCTAGTCAGAATGCTCATACGAAGGGGTTGATGGAGTTGACACATTGCAAGACAGTTCCTCAGATTTTTGTTTGCGGAAAGTATGTTTGCGAGTGAAATATCTTTTCTGAACTGGCAAGCCGCAGAAAAGAGTGACGTGGAATCTGTTATAACCATTTTCTTCTACTTTTTTTCTTGATTCTAAATTTGTACTAGCGCAGAGATTTGAATTAGTTTTCTTTTTACTAATATAGCCGTTTAGATTTATTGGAGGCTATGCGGAAATGCATGCTCGTAGAAAGGACTTGCTTGGCATGATCAAGGAGTGCTCCACTGACGGAAGGATTGTTGATAGAACACTCTCAGACTCGGAAAAGTCTAAAATCTAAAATCCTTTTGAGGACTACGTAGGTACACTTACACCTCATTGTATCAATATGATAAAGTTCATCTAATGTCTTTCGTTTGATGTATTTATAAATTCTAAAGACAGTACACCCGTGTTACAGTGGTACACATATTGACCGGAGGCTCAAGCAGTTGAATGCAAAAAGCTGAATCATAGAGGTGATGATTATCACAATAGTCTTTGAATATACGAAAGTAGTATTAGTCATCCGAAGAGTCGTAATTATCATCAGAAAGCGCGGTAAGAGCGAACGCCTCGGGTTGGTTGGACAGGTCGCTGAACTGTGGCGATATAGGCGAATCTTGCGGCTGACATTCCTGAAAATGTAACATTTTATGAATGAATCACGGCAAAGCAGTGCCTGTGAATATTCGGGGATTAGATTTCCTGCACTAGAAACCTAACTGCACAGCTCTTGCTGAAGCTGGCTTGCGCAAGCCGAAGGACAGTCGTTAGGTGAAAAACTACAAACCACAAGCAACGTAAAGCCCTTTCTCTGCATTCCTGCGCCATGTTCATTCACTGCCATGGTACGTGTCTTCACGCTGTCAAAGACAAGGATGTTTGTGTAGTTACAAAAATTGGATGCCCCGATCGCCCCACACTCCACGCTAGGCTTAAAGGCAGTGGCCCGAAAAAAATTGCGACTGCGAGTTTTCCACACCTATCGTCCGTTCGTTGATCGCACGGACTGCTCAAATGCCGCGGACCACGCGCGGTGCGGCTGAATCGTCGCGAGAGCACGACTTGTACAACGGCGAATTTGTACTGGGGCAAGCGTTCTACCTCGCGGCACGTGTTCCGCAGTGATGTCCAGTGCGGTTGACGAATCAATTATACATGGCCTCCTGGATGCGCTGAGTCCAGTGCTGTACTTGAAAAGTTAAGAATCGCTTTTTACGACGATTTTCTATCGTGGAGATGGCTGGAGGGGATGAATGAGGGATCCTCGCCATAAACAGCGACTGGCTGCAGTAGACTGTAACTCCACCCACTTGGGCGGTAATTGGCTGACCGGCTAAGCAGCCAGTTGCGATGCTGGCGAGAATCCCTGCCCATCCCCTTCAGCTATCTCCAGGGCAGAAAAACACCGTAAAAGCACTTTTTTAACATTTCAAGCACAGCACTGGACTCAGCGCATCCAAAGCGCCATGTAAGTGTTAAAAGCTCGCACTCGCAATTTTCCCGAGCCACTGCCTTTAAAAGGGAGCTGATGTAATTTATTTGCGTTCCTATTGCAAACTATTTGGGCTTTTTAGAAGTCGGCGGTGAGCAGAATAGAGAGAGAACGAAATCCACTCAGCCGTACCGTAACGCTTCATGTCATTATAAGGCTAAAAGCAAAATTAAGTATAATCATGTTTCTATATTTCATTTCGGAAGTGTTAGGTAATCATCTAATAGGTAATTTGGGAAAGCTTTATGACAGATTTTTTCTTGGTGTGAGTGTCTTCAAGGGCCATCATTATGATCACTCTAGGTCTTCTATCTATTTCTCCACTCAGCAATTTTCTGTCAGTTTCGAATGAGGAAATACATTTTGACCCTGCACCTCTAAGAAACTTATATACCAAATAATAACTTGGTTTCGAACTACAGTTCGAACTACGAACTAGAGATCTTATCTCGAGTTCTTGAACTACAGTTAGCATAATTCAAACTCACACTCGACACACAATTCGTCGGCAGCTCCGGCGGATTCGCACGGGTACCGGCGGAAACCGCGTGTTTGAACGATGCCTTAGCGCGAATATTCGTGAGCAAAATATGTGATCGCTAAACTTCATCCTACTGTGGCGAAACATTCGCTGACACAGAGGCATGGGGCACAACACTGCACGCTATTTGGTCAGATGTCACGTGAAAGTGTTGTTAGCATCGCAATAGCACCTTCAACCGTCTATTGGTTGGAATCAATCCCTTAGGCTTTCTTAGGTCAGGCTTTATAATCTCGCTCTGTAGGTTTCTGTATCATCAGTTTTCTAAATTTTCATATAACACACTGACGACAACGTGCCCACATGGTGGGTCATGGCTAAATTTTGTCAAAAACCAAAATTTGGGGTTCATGCATTTCAAAAGTTCTCTTACGCTCTGACCCGAGAGATTACTTCTGCGTTTCTTGACTGTTTCTTTGCTGTACTCATACTGTAGATGGCGATCTGCGTGAATTTAGCCAGTAGTTTTCAGCTTATTAGTAGAAGGCATTGTCCGACAAGATAGACAACTAAAACTCCGCACTGTCGTCAACGTGTTAACCTATAGCTGGAGCCCGCTATTGTCTACTTAACGCATTCGAGAAAATACAATAAGCCTTGGTCGTACGTATCCTACCATTTTAGACAATACGCCTCGCCTGGTTGTTTGTTTTCTGAAGTCCTATTTTGTACCTTTACAACGAAATGTCACAGCTTTTGACATAAGTCTGAAAACTAGGCGAGGATACAGCTAGTCATGGATCGAGAAACTATGCATTGATGTCAACTATGCATTAATGTCATGGTAGATGTACAGTATAGTCGTCCTCACCCCACTAGTCGGTCGGTGGTCGAATTTGAATTTGAAGTGGAGCAGGCCGGCCGCGGCAGAGCGCGGCAGACCGCCCCTCAGCCAACCGCTTGCACGAGCCTTTTTCTTATTTTCTTCGTGTTTCTTTGCTGTCTCTCGTATTACGGCAATGTTCTTAATCAGATTTTCAGATTTCGTACCACTAACTCTTTGAAACAAACACATTTTGAGAAGATTTCAGCCCTATCGCAAAAAAATAGTCCAAAATTCTGACGAAAAACTTGACACAATCATCACAAACTCATCAAATCACATTTGTGTCTATTTCACTTACCGGAAAAGATATTTCTCATCCACAAATCTCTATTCTTCACGGTTTACCTGGAAAAAAAGTAAAACAAACGAGTACAATTGCACAGAACAATAGTTAGCCGTACGAAATCTAAAAATCTGATCAAGAACACTGCCGCAATACGAGAGATAGCAATGAAACACGAAGAAATCAAAAAGAATGCTCATGTGCAAGCGGTTGGCTGAGGGGCGGTCTGCCGCGCTCTGCCGCGGGTGGCCTGCTACAATTCGAATTTGAATTCGACCACCGACCGACTAGTGGGGTGAGGACGACTATAACATGGGCGAAGCACAGAAGTTTGCTTAAACTAGAGCAAAACGACGTTTGGAAAGTTAGTACATAAATAGAAAATACAGGGCTTAATAAACTCATGCTCGTTAGGTTAAAAATTTGTCAGTTTTATTGATTTCTTTTGATTTTTGTTGTTTTCGCATCAGAAAGCTTACAGTCTGCATAGCCCTGGGCATACTCCACGCGATTTCAGTCACGAAGCGATTTGGCAATATTCCAGTTGTCCATAATGTGATTCGACTGGATTGGCGCTGAAAGGTCTCCGTGACTTAATTAAGGCTATAAAATGATCGGAGAGCAGTTCGGGAGACGCAAACTGCTTCGCGGTCGCGAGGGGTCTGCGTCTCCCTCACGCCGGCCTCCAGACGCCACTCTCGTTGAATCAAAGGATAAGCGCATTGTAGATGTACAGAAGATGGGGCATTTATCAATCTACGAAAACTATGCACACTGTGCGTTTGTAATCTGCAAGTGTAAGATTTGAAGACATTTGGCAAATTGTCAGATTGTGGTGATTGAAATCACGTATAAAACGCCTGAGGCATTTTTTATCATGCTTATCACAAATATGGTATTCACGAAAACTTATTGACTCTTTTTATCATCTCCTAGTTTTGAGAAATTTGGACTCTACTACCGTAGTCGTCTGATGTAATTTTTACAAATCCGCGATGTTGACTTTGTACCGAATTTACGTACCGTACCCTTACCTTAAGACGCCCAAATACAATAAATTGCCCTCTTAATCAGTCTTCGATACCAGCGCAAATTGAGTACATATTTGAAACTTCTTGAAATCACTACCATTTCGGACCATACCGCGGTCGTGAATGCGTTTGATGGATCCACATATACACATTTATCCAACCCGCGCATGTTCACGTGGCCATCATTATTCTTCGGTATACTAGAGTGAACTAGACAGTAGCGCGATTATAGGGAAGGAGATTACACGTCATCGGCTATTCGAACGACACACGTCATCGTTGTCGATGACCGGATTTTACCGTTTGTGTTGTTCGCCAAATTACCTACAGTATTTAGCCAGTAAGTGGAAAATATCTCTTTCGCCAATTGATAAATCCGTTTGAATATCTGCAGAAAATATACTTTTCTTATGGCACTTTTGAACAAATATGCTTCACAATACAACAGACCTCCTCAAAATCTGAAAATTGTATTCAAAAGGGTATGTGAATTTTTGCACTCGATATCCTGCTATAAGATCAATTTTGAGATTCTCAAAGGGATCCAGAGACACATCTTCAGGAAATATTCTATGAAAACTCAAAACCAAAGAAAATACCAAAAAAGTGCAGAAGTTTTTCCCAGCGAAATTTGTACTGAAGAGATTATTGTTGAGTAAAGCTTCAAGTTGAAAATATTACTACAGTACTCCAGAACGATGGGTACAAATAAGCAATAATATTTCGCCCGAAATTTTAGCGAATTCTCTAGCCGTAGAAAAAAAGAGTCGATCTTTGTACCCACTTGAATCGGGCTCATGATTGAGACAGCTGAAGAAATGACCTTTCTAATATGTAAAGAAATTTGGTCAATCTATACGAATAAGTGGAAGAAGAAGCTCAATAGCGGGGCCCAAAAAGTAGATATCAACATCTAACCACTCACCTTCATTGCAAGACAAGCTTGCATAGGTTTGAAAGAGCCGCCGGTCATCTCATGATATATCATGTTGTAGTTTATCTTCATCAGAATGAGGCAACGTCTTCTGTACTGCAAAGTTACTAATTGATACATAAGTCTATTTCGATCAAAGTGATACCATGTCAGCTCACATTGAAGTGTCGTTTGCACTCGTGCTTGAGTTGATGGACCAGTTTTCTCCTGCTCGGGATGTTGGCCCCAAAATGGCCAAACACAGTGCGAAGCGCCACTTGACATAAATCGCACGTTTCCTGGGGGCTTAGCGATGACGATGGAAGTGCCTAAACTATATAAGTCATCCAAAAGCTGAATGGAAGTCTGGGCATTTCATTACCCTACCGTCAAATATTCCTCCTCATCTTCGAAATCATCGAAGCAAAAGATAAGTGTAAATGTGAGGAAGAATTGAAAGAGATACAGAACGGTATGCATCAGGCCCAGCAGAGGGAATTATCGACTATCTGATCGATCACCCCGAGTTAGGGGAAATCCGCCCTTTCGTTCTGTTAATTGCCCCCTAACCGACAACATCCGCGTTCATTTTTAAGTGTATTTTGTCAGAGGAAGTTTCATAACAATAGCAACTCACCGACAATGCCAGCAGTAACAAACTCGTAAGGGACCAAAGCATAAGAGACGCTCGAGGTCTGAAATTGACTTTATGGCGGAGCTGTCAGCCTGGATAATTTGATGCACTATTTCGGCTCGGCTGGACATAAACTTTGAATCAAATCATCAAAAAGTCGTTTGTTACGGATTTGTGCTGTGAACGTTGTTGTAAATATTACATCCAAGGCTTCTCAAAGCATTCATTGAGTGTTATAAGTGAAGAATTGTGAATAATGCTTTACCGAGCTGCTTGTGGTAGTAAAATTAGTTGAATTGAATTCGAGCTTGTGACAAAAAATACAAATGAACATGAAGGTGTGAAATTAGCCATAAATACTGCTGTAACTTTGATGAGGGGACTACTGTTCCTCAAAAAGACCTCCCATCTTTTGCAAGTCAACAGAACCTTCATTTTACAAACACAATTTTTTTACCAAATAAGTGCATTTCTCTGAGAGACAATAATTGAGAATTGCTCTTTTTGGCTGCGGTACCGGCTAGCTCAAGCCAGATCTTCCAAAGGGCAGAATCTAAATTTCCATCGCTTTGAATGTCGAAAGCAAGAATATTAGATAAAAGAGCTTTACGGAATTGCTTGTAGTGCTGAGCTTAAATCTTCTCCTTGGCAACGGAGTTTTTTTGGAAGGAGGCATGAGATTTTCCTATGCATAAGTCAATGCTATTAAGGAAAAGTGAATCCTATAAACGTCAATCTGCTCAAAAAGAAAGCCAATCTCGCTGGGATTGGCAGCTCGTAGCAGGCATACTTAATCTCATGTATGTCATCTGATCATTTCTGAAAAAAGGGTTGGAGACAAACCACTTGAAGTGAAACGGAGCGTAACCCAGAAGTTGGAAACAGATATAGCTATAGTTCTGCAGTGTCAGTAGGATGTGGGAACTTAATTAGTACAAGAAGCTGACAATATCCGAGTGTGATGTCTTGAACTTTCAGCTTTTGCAGCAATATTTTTTCATCTCACACTTCCAATACTATATATCATTCCACAATACAATGAGAAATCATGGCAGAATGAAGTCTATTTCGAGCAAAGAGTTACTTCAAGTAGGTTTCTATTAGGGTTTCTATGAGTCTCATTATTTTTTATCGCTTTTACTTTCTCCAGCAATAACTCACATTCCTCTTGTTTTCACATAGGTTCCGTGTTACTATTTGGCAGAGCAAGGAAAGCTTCAAAAGATCACCTTTAATGTTTAAAGTTTGTTTCACTAAAGTTCGAAGCCGACAAAATCTAAATGTTCGAAAAGTCGAGAAAATATCTTATCTTGGCCTAGAAAGGCCCTACAAGCTTTTTACTTGCACATGCACCTGCTGGCTACTTTGGTATTTATTTGTGAATTTTCTATTTTCTCATGGTTAGAAATGGGAAATCATAACACCAAAATGAGCCACAAATACAAAAAGTCCTTTTCGGTTTTTTAACTTTGATATTCCTCAAAAGCTGTTGTCTGTGAAAGACCAAAAATTCATGATTATACTTCCGAAGGTTCATACTGTAGAATCACCAATGCAGGAGCACTTCAGCGCCGCAGTGGCAAAAACTTGAAAACTATTTTTTTGTCCATTTCTACCCATAGAAAAAATAAGTAAATGTGCAGATAAATGTGATGTGAATAGTATGTACATGTCCGAGCCAGATCTTTCGTAGAGAATTTTTGAATAGAGAATTTTTCCTCCAATTTTCGACGTTTGGATCCTCTTAGATCACGGCTGCAAGCTTAATGTAGAACCAAGTTTGAGCAAATCTTCAAATGCGCTCTCGCAGAGCAGACTTGCTTTTTGTCGAATATTAAAAACCTATTCAAGACTATCACATATGACTAACTGCAACTAAAAACGGTAAGAAATTATGGGACACCCTAGTTTAAGGGCTGCTGTTAACGGAAAAGCATTTGGTGGCATTTCGTAGAAGCCTCGCAAAAATGTTTATATCGAAGATCATTTCAAGTAAATCGGATACTGTACCCGCCCGATAATCGGTTGAGGAACACATTGTCAAGACTTTTCAAGGGAGATGTGCACATATTAGATACTTTTCAATCCAGCAGCCAAACTATTGAAAAATCTCACATTTCCGCATATCTGGACTTTTCTTTGAATCCCAACCACACTTTAGTGAGGTTAAAAAAGCTATTACCTGCTAGAAAAAGGTTTTGCAAATATAGAAGGCATATCGAGATCATCTTACTATGCCTCACTAATGGTCAACAGAATTTTTCTTTTAAAACGGTTTATTTGAATTGTAAAAAAGCTCTTTTTCACGGCTTTATTCAAAGGAGCATACACCGGCATATCTCAAATATCAGTGGCATTCCCAGAATTTCCGTTCAGGTAGTGGGAAGGGGGAAGAGGGTTAAGGGAGCGAAAAAAGTTGAGCGTGAAGGTGCTTGGCGTTACCCGCACTCCAAAAATTTTTTGTGATGCTTCCTAAGTAGAGAATGGGGACGTTACGGCACCATGCTCTCCCAAAATTTGTTTTAGAAAACTCATTAAAACTTTTGAGAAGTATCAAAATTGTTTTGATTTTTTACAAAATATAAGTCGCTGGCATATTTTTAAATCATGTTAGTGCCCAAAAAACTCGCAATCCCTTTTGGGGGATGAGATCTACCCTCCCCCGTTTGCCCGTCACTCAACTTTTATCAAATGCTATGCAACTGATGATCTAACCAGCGAGAAAAACCGCGGAGGTGGAAATAGCCATTTTCCAGCTCAGAAGCACTTTTTCGCAAAATTGTTTAGGAAGTGATTTTCATGGAAACAGTAGTCACAATAAAAACTCAGGAAGTCTCATTTCGGTAAAATTTCTCTCAAGGATACGTTATAAGTGGTCTCCATGGTGGTAGTACAACGAGAAATTCAAAAATAAAGTTTGTCTAGTGATAATAGTGATAATAAATATATCATGTTCAGTATGCATACTCTATCGATAAGGGAATTCCCTGTCATATTTCAAAGGATTTGAAAATCAAAAAAGTATGGCCTCTAACAAGGGAAGGATACTTGGTGACTGTGGCCTTTTGCAGCGAGATATGTACTAGTAGGTGCGCCTTGAAACTCTAATTCCAAATCTAAGTTCATTATTTGCTGTATGCGCTTATTTTTCATATTAATTTCACGAGATCTAGGCGGTCGAAATCGTTATTTTCCAGACTTTTCAGAGTCGGATATATTGAAGACGCTTTTTCTTAGCTCAATGAATCTTTATTTGATCTGGACACTCTTTTGTAGTGCATAAGTGACCATATCACCGCTGGTGAATCCAGATCAAAAAAGTGCAAATTTGGTGGCAAGAAATGTTCGTAACTTCCTTCAGAAGAGCGCACAGCAGATATCGAAGGCAGATTTGAAATCAGCGCTCTAAACTGCATTTAATGATGAGGGTTTCATAACAACATGCCAGGGTCACCTAATATCCCTTCCCTTGTAAGTTGATCTTCTGGACAGAAATAAAATTTTTGAAAAAGGTACAAAGGTCATACTTTTGACAGCTTATCCCGAATACGTTAGTTGCCTTAATGATATCCGGGGAAAATCCAGAGTGCCGAAAATTCAAATAAGTGTATATTAAGTAAAGATGTATTCCATCCGCGGCATCAAAGCTTTTTGTGCGCAAAAGAAAACCAAAAAAAACTGGAAGTATTGATTGAAATATTGAATACGTAGCAGTTTGGAGGTAGGTAGTTTTTTTTTGAGGTGCGATCGTACAAGTGTGGAAGAGTTCATGACCAAAGAACCATCAAATGCGATCTTTGGCGAGATAACGAAAACGAGTCATTCGCAACAATTCACAGTTTAAGAGACTTGAAGTAACAGTCGCGTATTCAATATGTACGAAAGTGCAAATAAAGGTTGTAGGAGCATCCAAGTCAGAAAGCAGATAAGATCAAATTAGGTCAGATCATGAAGTGCATAATCTAAAATGTGAAGTCCTGAACAAAGTTGAAACTTAGATTGGCTAGCAAATAGGTTTATTGTCGCTTCTGCGGCTCCTGCAAACGCTGCAGGCAAATTCTTGTCTGGTCTTTGATATTCTCTGGAAAGAGCGCTCGGTGAGACTTGGGACGTGAATTTTTCCATGAAGAAAAGGCGCAAAAAAGTGAGATACTCCGATTTTCTCATTGTGCGCACATGTGAAAAAATCTAATTTTTGATCAAGGAATTTCAAGATAGCAGACCACAGTTTTATTGTTATTCGCTAAATAGAGAGAACTTGTGTGTATACAGACATTACTTATCTCTAGCATGGGGTGGGAAACAGAGATTTTTCTTGGATGCAGAGGTCACGCCCTCCGGAAAGTTATCTGGACTGCTTTCGGATTTTTGATGGTCTTAAGACCGAAAACCTTTTACATAAAGCTGATATGAAATCAAGAAAATTTCAAAAAATATATTTTATTTATAGTAAGGTATACCATAAATCTCGTTATCAACCCACACGTGGGGAGAAATCTCGCACTATATCGCTTACAGCACTACCGTATTCCTGCGAAAATTATCCCAAATAAAATTTTACTCCTAAAGAGAGGTTCAAATTTATTTTCGTAAATAACAAAAGTACAGCGTAGATTATGCAGGTCAAAGAAAGACACTTTTTCAAGCATAGGCACAGTACAATGGAATTACCTTTCAAAAATTTTTTTCTCGGAAACGAAGCTCTTTATCATCCAGAGGAAGTTAAACACAGAGAATTCAATAGGAGAAGGGTGATTAGCCATGCCTGAGTGAACGATTCTGGAAAGTTGCCAAAATTTTATGACTCCTATAGTCCTAAAATGCTGGAGAAAAGCAACCGGTCAAGCCCTGAACCAGACCATCAATCGGATTGCCTACAAAGGTACGGTAGT